TCATCACCAATGGCAAGCACGCCCCCTCTCAAAGTGAGCATGTTGGTTCAGTGCTCTTACAGGGCAGACCATGCGCAGAGCTTTACTGAAGAGCTCTAGCGTGAGAAAAAAGCCCTGTATTTATTCTGTGCAGCGCAAGTATTTTTATTAACTTGCTTGCGCTGTGTTTTGTTTGTAGCTTGTCTCTGGTGTCCCATAAGTGGGATACCAGGAGATAAAAGAGCCAGGAAAGAGTATTGTGCATGTGTTTGGAGCCTGCTTGTGGGATTGCGTGTGTGTAGAGTGAGCTGATTGTGTTGTGATGTTGTGTAAATAGTTCGGTTTCAGTTGTGTTGTGTTTGTGGGGTAATGTGTGGCTAGGGGCTGTAGAGAGTGAGAATGTGTGTATAGGCAGCATAGACTGTATAGAGGTTGTAGAGTGTTTGCTTACAAGAAATCTGGTGTGTGCGTAGGGGATCCAAAGTTTGTATGCCAGGAATGTAGTGTGTGAGAAGTGGATATATTGTGTGTTTGAAGGACCCAGAGCGTGAGTAGGAGATCTAGTGTGTGTCTGTGTGCATACAGGATTCAGAGTGTATATAGGGATTTAGTGTGTGTAGATGATCCAGAGTTTTGTAAGGGATCTAGTGTGTGTCTGGAATGTAATGTGTGCATGAGGGGTGCTATGTGTGTGTGACGCGGTTTGTGTGTGTCTGTGTGTGTTTGTGGGGTGCTGCGTTTAAGGAGTGCTGTGTGTGTGTGAGGGGTGCTGTGTGTGTGTGTGAGGGGTGCTGTGTGTGTATGTGAGGGGTGCTGTGTGGGGGGGGTGGTTCTGTGTGTGTAAATATGTTTGGATGTATTGTGTGTGTGTGTGTGTGGGGGTTAAATTAATGTAACTAAATATTTTTTTATTTTAATTAAAAACAAAAAACAAAAAGTAGAATGCCCTGTCCCTTCTTACTTTTTGCCTGGGAGGGGGTATTGTGCAGCCATCCCTGGTGGTCCTAGTGGTGAGAGTGAGTTTCACTCTCTCTTTGCCATGGTAACTGCAGCAACACTCAGACCTTGCGAGAGGAACCTGATGGAGCTGCAAGCCAGAGCTCCCCGTGTTCCCCCCCTGTCTCCCTCCAGCGAGCAGCTGCCTTTCACTGCCTGAGGGCCGGTGAGGGAGATCTTTGATCTCCCCACCAGCCCATAAAGGAACACAGCAGGGCCGGCGCTATCCAGCAGGGCCGGCAGGGGAGATCTTTTGATCTCCTCTGTCGGCCTCAGCCCCTGGCCATCGGGGCCCACCGGACATTTGCCCGGTATGCCTGTTGGCCAGTCCAGGCCTGCTCAAGACCCTTATAATAGGCTTACTGAAGGGTTCTGTCACTCCAAATAGACAAGCTTCAGGTTTCTAACACTCTTGGTACAGCAGCTGTATAGCCAATGACTATGAATCGTCAAGCTCAAAATGCCATTTTGGATGGCCAGCTAAAGGACTTTTGTCATGCAGAGTGATGGGGTTCAGGAGTCTTGAACTATCATTAGGCTTGTCACTCTGTAGGAAGATTTTTACTGATGACACTGTCACTTATTTTGTTGAGTACACAATTGCTGATTAGTCTGCTGCAGAACCATGTCTGTTATGAAACCTTGTTAGAATAGCGTAGAGCACTTTCAGTGTCAGTAAAGTGCCAGAGAACTATGCTAATAAATAGAGCACACTCTCCTTATTTGGCACCCTTTTGACATATTAATAAAAAATAAAACTTTTACATTAATGGCTTTGTTTTTTTGTTTTTTTTTTATCTTCAATTCTGCTAGAAGGAAATCTGTTCTTACACGGGTATTTTTTATGTATCGTTTCAAAGGGTCTGCTCTAGGCCCTCTTTGGCTTCTCTGTTATCTGTATAGCCATGTGACTTTTGAGAAGGAAGCATTAAGAAATCTCCCTGTGCAGCACAGAGGAGATCATATTCCAGACAGACTGGTACAGCAGCGGATGTTTGCGATGGAGAGAGCATTGGGACCTGAAGGTTCCTGCAGTGCCATTTACATCAGACCAGGAAAACAAGCAGACGTTCATTTAGCAGGCGTTGTTGAATACTTTATTAGATCCTCTGCATTATAGTTATATTTTTCAAGCTTTGCTGTCCAATCAGGGTGTTTATGAATTTTGGAGACCTTTCTACCCTCTCTCACTCCCTGAGCACATTCACAGAATCTAGATTTTATGCACATCTGTTCAGTTTTGTGGGGATTTTTTGTTTTTCGTTTTTGCTGGTTTGGTTTTCTGCTGTTGATCTATTTTCAGAGATTAACTACAGTTTATTTTTTTTTAAATAATACTTACTTTGAGAAGAATAAACACCTTTAATAGCATATCACTTAAGACAGAAGGATAGTAATTTGCCTTCCCTTTTGTCTCTATTGCCAATACAGTTGCCTTGTTATAGTCAAGAAAGCAGATGAAGCTGCGCTCAATAATTTATTTTCAAATCAATGTGAATGAGTTTGTGTCTGGCGGACGCAAAAGCTTCATAATCAAGTCTGATTTATTTAAGAGAGTTGTTTCTCTCTAATGGGGGCAGAGCTGGCGAAGCACTGACCCTCCTGCTTGGGACCCAATTTGTATCTCACAGAGCTGACCTAATTCTCATTGATTGTCGTTGTTAGCAGAGACAACTGTGTACAGGCATTAGAAATTAGATGGGCTGCGGTCCAGGAAGGAGACACTGCAGCACAATGCTTTTTGAACTTGTCTGTAAATCCTGTACTATTTTCAGCACTAAAATTTAGTGTCCTATGTAAGGCAAAGGTTGAATTTTTTTTTTAATGTTTTAATATTGTGGAGTACAATTTACCCATATCACCTCAGTACCCTTGTTTCTTATTACACTCCTCCTTCTGTAAGATTTTTCCAGAGCTGCATCCGTCTTTTAAAACCATTAAAGCCAACTTATCCATCACTTTCTTCCACAGCTTTCTACTTATTAAATACAACCTCAATAATCTACTATAAAACAGCTAACTTTATTGGAATAAAAACATGAACATTTCAGTGAACTCAATATCATGTTGTGCACTATCTCTCCTTTTCTCATTTGGTCAAATTATGCCTTCCTGAATATTACAGGTTTACTAAAGGGAAAAGCAAATAACATGGATACAGCTACCATTTCCTATAGTAAAACTTCCTGTGTTCCATTTCCCAGTTTACCAGCTGAACTCATTTTTATATTATCTTTTGGACCCATTTCATTTTTCTGAGAAAATTTACATTTTATATATGGCTGCAATGTTGGGTCAAATTCTATTGTTACGTGACCAACTGCTGCTCAACCTAACTGGCCTGCTGGTTCACAAATTCGAATATGACCCAAAATGGCTTCTCCTCTTCTAAAAAAAAAAAAAAAAAAGTAAAATTTTCTCATAAATCATTTAAAAACAACAATTGTTTTATTAAATGCAGCAAACTTTAAGAAGTGACAATTTGGCATTTAAGCAATCCTCATATCAAACAAAAGAGAAGATAAGGTTGCGCCAGAACAGAATAGAAAAAGTATAGTTACGAATATATAAAAAAAATCCAATATAAAAAATAAGACATCCAATAAAAGTCCAAATAAAACTTGCCAGAAGATATAATCTTAAAATAAACTTGCCTCAAATATGTCCAGAATAATTATTCTAAAACATTGTCAGATCAGGGTATTTGTCAGGATCCTATGCAATATTTACAGCTTAATCTGCTTTCAGAGACTGTCCTAAGTTAGTGCTTTCCTGTAGTCACCAAAAGGGCACCTATAGTGGATGGCTGGTGTGCCCAATCCAATAGGAATCTGGTCTGGATTCCAAATCTACACATAAAAAAGGGGAATTGGGGCACACCCGGAACATGTATTTTTATGGAGCAGTGCTGCAGTAAAGATCAAAAGACAGATTTAATAAATAAAAAAATCTTGCAATGCATATACAAGAGCATGTATTGACATAGGAAACAGCATGCATATACATACATTTAAAAATGTTGTGTTTATAGGCATTTTTATTGTACTGCACAATTTATGGTGTAATGAGATAAGGCTAGATAGACATGTCATAGGACACTACCCACATTAAATATAAAATGCTAAACATGGATAAACAAGGAGAACAATCAGGCTAAGTGAACAAACAAGTGAGTATGTCCCGGACACAAAGATAATGAGTAGCATGACACACAAGAGGCCCCCTGGGCAAGAATTAGTGTTAGGCTTCATGACCTACAATGTTAACTACCTATTGGGATGAATAAAGGCTTTCAAACTATATATGTGGTACCATGTATGGGGAAGGCTCCATAGGGGAATTAATGCCAGATGGCAGTAGTTCCAGTCCAGTTTATCCTAAGCCTTTCTGGGGCATGTGATAGACTTGGGTCAGCCAGGCAGTTATCAGGAATAAGAGCCCAAGCATATGCCACAGGAGCATTCGTACGGCGTGCGGGGATGGACCTAGCTGTGTTCTTCGCCGTGTTTGGGTGCGCCTGTGTCTTGGCGCTATTATCCTTCTCCGATGGCTCAGCAAGGGACTCTGGCAGGGCTGGGCTTGAAACCCGCAAGAGGCATTGCTTTGGTGACACTCACTGGCTCTGCTCTCCAGACACCTTCAGAAGTTATCGAATAAGGTGTTGAGCCGGGGCTCAAAGTCAAGATGTGCTACTCAGAGGTTAGGGATGCACGTGGTCCCCTCCATGTTGGGTAAGTTGTAGCAGAGTTCCTCCTCCCGGGTGGCCTCCTGTCTTGTTGGGCCATAGTAGCCTCTCGGTTGTGGACCAGGATCACCCCCGCCAGTCCGGGGGTGGGGGGGATAACGGGGCTGTAACGGACCGTTTTGCACAAAAGGGGTAAAAACCGTTTAGGCGATCGGCCCCCTTTCCAGAGATACAGGCACAGCTACTGCAGAACAACAAACTCCTGAACTGGATACAAAATAGCACTTCAACTCCCGAACTGGAACCTCCCAAATAGCTGTTAGCAGACGAACAGGAAAAGCAGACAATCAGCTTACACTCCTGGCAATCAGTCTCTAACAGCATACAGTGAATCCCCCCAAGAACGAGACAAGGCTCCGTGTTGAGGGGCAAGCAGTGGTCTGAGGTGCTGGCACACCCAGCCTGGTTTTTATTACAGTCTTGCAAATACAGGACCGCCCACAGGGAGGTATAAAACAACCAATCACATCACAGTTACATCCCACATATTCCCTCCCCTTATCCTGAGAGGAAACTCAATTACACATACAGTTAAAACATACTTTCTACCCAACTTTCATAACTCTAAAACCATACATCACATTCACATAAAATTACATATTCACAATCAATCCATTCAGGGGAGCAACATATTCAAAAATGGCACAAATCAGACAAGGGGTTCAAAAGTTAGTAAAAAGTCCTTTGTGACTAAATGAAGCATGGCTTTCTGGCCCAAACCAGTTTCAGAGTCTTCTATCCTGGAGATAAGTAATTCAATTATCTCCCAGGATAGACACAAGACTCCATTAAGCACATGGTTGCAAAAAGACACAAAACACTTTAAAATACATAAAGTCACATTTATTACATAAAACACAGACATGTAACATATCCCCAGATAGCTCAGGTCTGAGCGCACATTATTAAGTGAATGGCGCTCAGACCACACGAATACAGTTTAATCGCCATGGAGCCAAAGTATTTACAGTCAGTTTCATACGAATGGGCTCCATGGGATTCCTATCTGGGGTATAACACATTCAATCAAATCTACTGAACCCCAGGCAGAAAAGCACGAATACAGCTTTTCTGCAGGCAAAAATAAAGTCTTTTAAAAGGGGGCCATAGTCCAAAGGCAGCAGGCGAGCAACCAGGCTTCTCCAATGCAATGTGGCGAGATTGGTCTCGTCACAGGGGCTTTATCAGGATAGTTGCTTCAGACTACTTCCCTGTAAGGGGATCAGCCTCCTCCCCTGCTTAGTGCACTCTAGGGCGCATCAGTCACGCTGGGGTGGTCAAGCTCCCGGTAAGTCACTAGTCGCTGTTTGGCTTTTCGGGTAGGTTATGAAGTTAACCCCTCTTGGAGTTTGGCTGTTTCGAGCAAGAAAGATAAAAAAAAAACAGCAGTTTTTGTCAGAACAGCGGCGGAGCTCTTTCTGAATGAGTTTCTCCACCATGACAGCCAGCCCCCTCCCCCCCCCTCAAAATACAGATTTTAAGTAACCTTGTAAAAAAATTTAACTCTCTCTCTCTCTCTCTCTCTCTCTCTCTCTCTATATATATATATATATATATATATATATATATATATATATATATATATATATATATATATATTTATTAGTGAGCGGAATGGTTGTTGAAGGAAGATATATCAGGCCTGCTTTACTAAACAGCAGCCAGAGAGTTTTTAGTTAAATGTCCCAGGGAGAGACATTAAGTTTGCAATATACATTGCTGATACTATGCAAAACACGGTATGGGTCCCTGGGGTGGAGCATTTGGAGAGCAGGGTGGGCCAGTGCTCCAATAGCACTAGTTGCTATATAACAGCACGACCAGATCTTGTATATACCTTAGGAGTTCCAGAGATGTGAATTAATTGATCCTCACCTGTAACTGGTCAATTGGCAGGCAGGCTTTTAAAATAAGGGATCAGCCTGCTGCAGAGTGAGGGAGAAAGAGCCAGAGGAATGGTGTATTTTGCAGCTATATTTTGCTATTGTAAATTGTAAATTGGTAAGTGGGAAAGCCACCCAATTCCAGTTAGTGATTATTGTGTTTAGTAAGTGCTCAAACAAGAGCAAGGAATTTTGTTTTGTTTATTTTATTTTTACACACCTGTATATTTTGCACCAATTAAATCAGAAAAACTGAGCTGGATGTGTCCTGGACTTTGATTACCCTAGAAGGCTGTGGTTACCATAAGATCTGTGACAAAATCCTACCGGTAAAAGAGGTGGTTTGTTACAATATATATATATATATATATATAGAAAAAAACAAAAGCTTTGCACTCCTACTTACAAAAATGTAGAACCCCGGTGCTAGATTGCACTAGACATGCAGAACAGAATAAAATCAGCACTCCCAGGATTTTTAAATAAAGCTTATTTTTACTCCAAATATCGACGTTTCAGTTCCTACCAGGAACTTTCATCAGGATAACAACTATATAGCACTTCTGCTATATAGGTACAATTTTAACTCTAGTTGTCTCCTTTTTAATTATTGACAGTAAGTTTTAAAGGGACAGTTGTATATTTTGGGATAAACATATCAAACACACTTATTTAAACTCAACAAGAGTTTCGAAAACTTGTCTGTATCCATCAAAGTTATACACAGAAATGCTGTTATAATTTTATGTTTCTTTCTTAAAGGAACCCTTTTGGGTCAGAAACACAAACATGTAGTGTTAACAACACTATCTAGCCCCCCTAGATAAAGTAAAATCTTACCTTTGTTTCAGTCTGCTGGTGCTGGCTCCTCTCTTGATGTGCCTCCTTGGTTGACATCATCAGAAGTGATGAACTCAGCCAATCACAATGCTTTCCCATTCTGATGATCTTGGCTAAGGAGGCGGGCCTGGGGCCAGAGCCAAATGCCACCCTGACCAATCAGCATCTCTTCATAGAGATGCGTTGAATCAGTGTCTCCATACAGAGGGTACGACATTAAACATTAAGCTGTAGTTGTTCTGGTGATTATCGTGTTCCCTCAACCCCTTAAAAGGACATTATAGTCACCAAAACAACTTTAAGTTGAAGCAGTTTTTGTGTGTAGATCATGCATCTGAAGTTTCACTGCCCAAAGCACTGCCATGTGGGCATTAAATCACTTTTGTTTCTGTTTATTCAGCCCTAGCCACATCTCTCCTGGCTATGACTGACACCGCCTGCATGAAAACAAAACGGTTTCATTTTCAATTAGATGTAACTTAACTTTAAACATTTTTATCTCCTGCTCTGTAAATCGAACTTTTAGTTACATACAGGAGTCTCCTGAAGGATGTATATTATCGAACTATTAACAGAGCAGGAAATAAGAAATTCTAAATTAAACCGAATTTGCAATAAATCCCTCCCTCACCACTCACTTTGGACCAGCGGGATATATCCCGGTCACCACTAGCATCCTGATAAAATCACCTTACCGAGAACTCCAGCTTACTGGAGTTCGGGAGTTGAGGCCTAGCAACCAATATGTTTTTTTGTTTTTTTTTTTATCAGCTACAATTAATTTTCACTGGTTCAACTCCAGAATTGGTATTTCCCTTGTTTTACTCAAAAGAGAAAGGAATATATGTTTGTTCTTTCCACAGGTTGCAATCACATTTTCTCTTGTAGTGTAATCTGAACCAGATAAGTGAGGTATATAGCAATATGGACTCTGTAATTGTGTGATGTACTATGATTTTCATTCTTCTGTTAGATGAGGTGTGTTGACTAATGATAGGTTGATTGGATGTTAGTTTTATGTCCCTTCTAGTTGAGGAATGTTAGTGTCTCATCTTGATGAGGTGTGTGATGCTCTGATCTGTCCTGTTAGATAAAGGAAGTGGATCTTGGTCTAGGGATTTAACTTGTAGGCGTGTAGCCCAGGTAGATTAGCTGCTTTTTGGTTTTACTCTGACAGATGAGGAGTGCAGATGTCTGCTTCGTGTTTATAAGTTATGTTGGTGTCTAGCCCAAATAGATGAATTGTGATTTTCTATCTTTGGTACACATAGTATGTTTAAATTTGACCTTTCCTGGTTACTTCTTTTAATTCCAGATGGAGAGGAATTCGAGCTTTCTGAAGATCTTAAAAGGACAAATGATCACTCACAATCCGGTATGAATAAACATTTGCAACTGGCTGTGGGGGTTTGCTGCTTTTATTGTCTATAGTTAGCGTGAGGTGGATTGCTAGTTATTTGAAATATTTATCAATAAAATAAATACAGAAGTAACAGAAGGCTAGGTCTGCTTCATGTTGTCTCTGTCTGGTGCATGGTATGTCATGTTTACCTTACTATACATGAATTTAAAGAGAACCTATTCATATTCCTTTACAGTTAATTGTATTCTATTATAACTGCTTATCCCCTACTTCAGACTCTGATACAACTCCTCATTGTTATCACCATGATTAAATCTTAGTTCTTTGGGAAGTGAACTATTTTTGTAAATTGATGCCGAGTAGTGTGCCTTGTGTTTTCCAAGTAGTGTCTGATTCTGAATAAGTGACCACAGGGAAATCTTCAACCTGGGGTACTATGTATATTTTATTTGATTAAAGGAACACTAAAGTCACCTAAATTACTTTAGCTATATAAAGCAGTTTTAGTGTATAGATCATTCCCCTGCAATTTCACTGCTCAATTCACTGTCATTTAGGAGTTAAATCACTTTGTTTCTGTTTATGCAGCACTAGCCACACCTCCCCTGGCTATGATTGGCAGAGCCTGCATGAAAAAAAAAAACTGGTTTCACTTTCAAACAGATGTAATTTACCTTAAATAATTGTATCTCAATCTCTAAATTGAACTTTAATCACATACAGGGGCTCTTGTAGGGTCTAGCAAACTATTAACATAGCAGGGGATGAGAAAATCTTAATTAAACAGAACTTGCAATAATGAAAGCCTAAATAGGGCTCTCTTTACAGGAAGTGTTTATGGAAGGCTGTACAAGTCACATGCAGAGAGGTGTGACTAGGGTTCATAAACAAAGGGATTTAATTCCTAAATGGCAGAGGATTGAGCAGTGAGGCTGCAGGGGCATGTTCTATACACCAAAACTGCTTCATTAAGCTAAAGTTGTTCAAGTGACTATAGTGTCCCTTTAAAAGCACTGGAAATTGGATTTTTAAAAATCCTGCCTTTTGTCATGAACAATATGTAGCACAGTGTTGATTAACTTGGTCTCGGGATTCTGATGTAACTCTACCCTTTTCTATATATTTTTTTATCTTTCCGCAGATGACTCTGTAATTAATTATTCAGATTACTACCAAGGACTATGGAATTGCACAAGTGACAACGGTGATGAGCTTTCATTCCAGCGTGGTGATATTATTCGCATCCTCAGCAAGGTGAAATGTTGTGCGGAAGGCAAGACTTGGGCACTGGGGTAGGAGGCGAGATAAGACAGCAGATGTAGATCAGAATTGCTCTGAGAATGGGACTATATATGACAGTCTGAAGTGAAAATCTTAGTATCTCCACTCAGAGTTTGGGAGAAAGAGGAAAGCTAATTAACTGAAAGCAGCAATTTTTGAAACTCTTGTTGAGTTTAAATAAGTGTGTTTGATATGTTTATCCCAAAATATACAACTGTCCCTTTAAAACTTACTGTCAATAATTAAAAAGGAGACAACTAGAGTTAAAATTGTACCTAAATAGCAGAGGTGCGCAGATTTTGAAGAACTACCTTTCTCCTGATGCATTGTCTGTTAACTTTAGAAAGGCAAATTATCATGAATAATAACGTCCCTGCAGTCTCACTGAACGATTTTTTACCATTTAGAAGGTTACAGCATAGAATAGGTGCTCTCTAGACATGCAGAGTTAATAGTTCTCTAACATAGACTATGGAGATTAATAATAGGACTAGGCAGGGGTGTTTTCTCGCATTTGTGTTTTGTATCGTCACTGGAACTATTATTAAATGCAATTTGAAATAATTATGATATAACAATCTATATGGAGAGTGACTTATAGCACAAAGTCTGCATATGTGGACTGCATTGTATCATTGATCAACCATGTATTTCCCTTCCAAACCTCATGGCTGAGTTCAAAGATGGCATTCTTGCTAATCTCGAACTTAGACTACTTTTCCAAATAGACCATTTATTGTCAGTACGAATCATAATAGTGCTAGCCTACAAATCTCAATCCAGGCAAAATTTTCCAATGTCACTGTCACACCTCCCTTCCTTTTTATAAACCTTCTAACGATTCTTTATCTGGACTCGCCTGCTTTTGTTGCTTTTCCCCTACCACTCTTTTACCAACTAGTTGCATTTTATGTACCTGATGATTACAGGCAGGCAGCATAGCCCTAAATAAATATTCTGCTGTAGTGCTTATGGTGCCACAATTAGAAGTCAAACCATTTTGGTCCAACAGAAGCTGGGTATTACTGTTTAGAGCAAAGCATAGCCACAATTGTTCGGTTGATGCGCTCAGTCAATGATCATGGTCCTGTATTGGCTCACTTTGCTTTATAGACCAATCTTGCTGGAGAAGATCTTATGCAGTGAGTGGACCATGGATGTTTTGTGGGAGTCAAGTAAGTTGTCAATCCATGCTAAAATGGTTTGATTTCTTACCGTGGAGTGGGGCCAGGGTACTCCTGACACCATAATCACTACAGTAGGCTATCTGTGTTTTCCTTTTGCTTGTTTCAGAACATTTCTTGATTATTACTCTTTACTATTCTGCTTTATATTGGAAAATTGTCAAACTTACACTAATTGGTAAAGTAGTTTTACCATGTTTCAAAAATGGGTTTCCCATTTCTAAGGTACCACTGCTTTAACCAGCCAATATATATCCGGCTCTTACTGTAACTATTCACCTGTATATAACCAGACTCTTACTGTAATAATTGTACCGGATTATAATCACCCTCTTAATGCAGTCAATGTACTGGTATGTAGCCAGACTCCTAATGTTATTACCATACCAGTATACAATGGCCTCATACTGTCATTATTAACCCTGTTCTATATGGCCTTGTATATCTGGTGTCTCCACCCATAGCAGATCCATTTTACAGGAAGTCTTCATTGCTTCTTTTCTAAATATTCCATACCTACTATTGATAGCAAAAGTGCATGCAGCTTGATTTATTTTTAGATAAATCATCAGGCGCTCTGATCACCATGACAACTATTCATGGACAACTCCACATAATTCAGACACCTGTGGCCATATCATACACCAACAGGTCCTGCCTGTAACGGACCGTTTTGCTCATCAGAGGTTAAAAACCGTTTAGGCGATATTCCCCTTTCCAGATACACCGACAGCTACTGTAAGCACCGATCTCCCAAACTGGAAACATATGAACACTGGAAATATCCGAACAGGAAAACCATACGAAAGGGTTACACTCCTGGCAGTCAGCATACAATCCAATTCCCCCAATATCGAGACGACACTTCGTTTGAGGGTCATGCAGAATCTGACTGTACTGGCACATACAGCCTCTTTTATTCCCAATCCACAAACATAGTACTGCCCACAGGGGAACAACCAATCAATCCGTACAATATACACAGACACTCCCACACAAAATCCTCCCCTCTGCCTGTGATATGATTACTGAACACAATAGGTGATATAATTATCACAGGCAGAGGAATACAATTTTTCCACATTATTCATAACTTTGAAAGTATGCATCACATTCACATTTTCTGAATCAGCATACTCCAAATACAAACATATGTCAAAATCATCCAAATTGGTCCATTGGTTCAAAAGATAGATCGAAGTCCTTTGTGACCAAATGAAGCATGGCTTTTCTGCCCAAAACCAGTTCCACAGAGTCTTCTATCCTGGAGATAATTGAGAAGTAATCCAATTATCTCCAAGGACAGAGACAAAACTCCATTAAGCACCTGGCAGTAAAAAGCCAGTAAAATACAATAAAATACACAAGGTTACCTTTATTACATAAAATACAGACATTCTACCTATCCCCAGATAGCTTAGATCTGAGTGCACATTATTACCGAATGGCGCTCAGATCACATACATACAGTTCAATCGCCATGGAGCCAAAGTCTTTCATACAGTCTTTCAGTATACGGCTGGGCTCCATGGCATAGCTATCTGGGGTAGCATGGCTTTAACAGTCCGCAGAAAGGCACAAACCAGCCTTTCTGCAGGGTAAAAGAACAGGGGCCATAGTCTAAAGGGAGCTGGCGCGCAACCAGGCTTCTCCAGTGCACAGTGGCGAGGTTGGTTCCGCCACACTGCCACTTTCTTCATATCTCATTTCCACGTTTAGATCCTTCTCCCTGCTTTAGCCCCTTAAGGGCCAAGCTTCTGGAATAAAAGGGAATCATGACATGTCACACATGTCATGTGTCCTTAAGGGGTTAAACAAATCTTCCCAGTTAACATCCCACAGCCCATTTTGGAGGTCTGTTAATGCTCCAGACCCACTCTGTTATGTGTTATGGTTTCCCCATTCACAGGAGAGAAAAGAGAAGTGGTCTGTGGTTTAAATAAACAAATGAGACAGCATTGATCTTTAAGTTAGCCAGTCACTGAAGGTGAAAAGGACCCTGTCACCATTTTGTCAAACACACAAGAGAATGTGACTTATTCTGTGGTTTAGGCAGACACAGAGGAGAAAAGTGATATGCAGATTATCCAGGCAAGGAAAGAGAAACAGACCTGTTCGACAAATTTGCCAGACTCCTACGAAAGAGAGAACGCTTATGGATTAATTTATATAATCCCAAAGTATTCTGATTATAGAAATAATAGCCTGCTTTAAGTGTCGAGTGACAACCCATGGGGAAATTCTAGCTTTTTTTTTTTTTTTCAAGTTTTATTTATTCCTTTTTTATTTTATTTATTTTTTAGCTTGTCTATGATAGGAAGCTGGTATGGGGGCAATTGATAACTAACATGATTACAAGCTGCCAAATACATGTCTATGTCTAGCTAATAGACTTTTAGATACAGCATCCAAGCTTGTTTGATGTACTGTAGCCACTGAAGGATTTTTAAGAGTCCATATGAAGGTCAGTTTAAAAATTTAAATAAATTCCAGTACATAATAATCAGCAAGACTAAGATCTTTTTTTATAATGAATAGGTGGATTAAAGTATATACATTAGTTAAAGTGGATCTGTCACCGTCTAGGGACTTTGCATAAAGACCCAGGATGGTGACATCATTGCTGGTGGACTGGGTGGGGGTGCAGGAAAAAGTGAGCTTTACTTGTTCCTTGTTGGCACCACCATTGCCTTCTGTCTGTGTGCTCCTAGTCTGCTACTGGCGATTTAACTGCCGGTAGCCAACATCACTGTTGCACTGTCGCTCTTGTGCAAGTGTACAGCATTGAGTGCTATAGAGGATTTTGCGAGACTGCAGTATCCTCCATAGAGATAATTTCCCTGCGGCCATCACTCTTATCGGCTGGGGGAAATGAGAAGCTTGGCAGCAGTAGCTCCACCCCATGTCAAGCTTTATCAGGCTTAGGAAAAATTTATTCCAGCACAGTCAATAGGAGTATTGAATAAAGATTCTATCTTTATAGATTGTGGCAGTAACACTTTAATCATTGTAATGTAATGATGATATTTGCAAAAAACAAAAAAAACTCTGCCAGTACCCAGATCGCCCACCTTGCCCAATTAAGAAAACCTCAATTTTAGTGGTTAAAACAGTCCAAACATTTTGCATCCCAGTCCAAAGTTGTATTTGAACTAAGATGTTATACGGTCACATTAACTTACATCAAAGCTAAAACAGTGATAACGAGGTTGTTGATATCATATTGTTGAGTAGAAGCCTAGTGAAGTGTGGAAATGTGCAGAAATAATATAGAGAAATTACCCCCTGTCCCCTCTCTCAGCCCCTAACTCCCCTACTACACATCCCTCCAACTGCAGCCCTAACCACACTTTTACACCCCATACACTTCTACAGCCCCGATTCCCTTACTACAGTCCCACATCATCCCCACTACAGCTGCTCTCCCCCAATTGCAGCCCATATCACCCACCTTTCCCAAATTGTAGCCACCAACCTTCTTCAGTCCCTATCCCCTTACTACATTTCCTAACTCCCCAATTACATACACTCCACTGTAGCCTCTAATCCTCAACTACACCCCTTGGTCCTACATAAAGTGTCCGAATGAAATCCCAGGTGATGGTGATTACCATCACACTGTTAAACCAGCAATGTTTGTGCAGCTGCAGGGTTAAGGAGACACCCTGCACTCAGACCACTTCAAAGAGATGAAGTGGTTTTTGTGCCTATAGTGTCCCATTAAAGGTCTATTCTAAGCATCATAAGGATTTCAGTATGTAATTGTTCTAGTACAAGGTTTTTTTGGATGCAGTCACTCCAAATTTTGTCAAAATGTGTCAAACAAGTGGGATGATCTTGAAAGGCTGCAAGCAAAGAACGAAGCTTCCTGCAGTATACATATCCAATGAATGTGATCTACATTTGTACAGATAATGAGAAAATTGAACTTCCTCATTGTCACCATGGCAGCAGAGTGTTTGAAAAACTCTGGCATTCCTAGAACCAAACAATGAAATACCTTCAAGTGCCCACTGACCACGTGTACAAACAATTGTCCCAACTAACAAAAACAAAAGGTGTATGTAAATAAAGGTTGTATCTTTGGTTACCTGATAATAATGCCCAGGTCCTCCACAAATGGCACATTGGCCAAATGCAAGTTGTACAGACTTTGTATCAGCTATTATTACTCAATTAACCATGAGCCTGTTCAAAACAAGGTGTAGCATGCCATGGGATGGCTTGTAGCATAGCATTTTCAGACTCGGTATAGCATTATTTTTTAGTTTGTATTTTTATTGTACAGTTACAAAATGTACAGCCAAATGCTTTAGTAGTAGAAGTAGCCAGATGTCTACTCTAGTCTGCCCATTTCCCCATATATCTTAAAATGGAGACTTGCATAATCTTTATCACCTATTCACCTTGGAGATATTTTGACAGTATTAGTACCTCTACCCCAGCCAGAGATCTATATAAATGTGCTTATACTGCCATTTCTGTTAATATGGTCTGATGCTTTTTTTCTGTAATGTAATCTTATTTTTTTTATATTAGATCATTTATCATTAGATCATTTATACTTTTCTCCCCAGCAGTTTATATTTTAAGGTATTATAGTCCTTTCCAATGTGCTTGGTTAAGTAGATGGACCATATTAGTATCTGTGTTTGAATAACTTTTAATTTATTTATGTCCTTTGTATCTAGAATGCATATTATTCCTATTATTTATTTATAAAATGAAAATTGCACCTCACTATTGTAGATCTGGATTACAAAGCAAACAAAAGTAGAGTCGTCTGTTAAAATACAACTTTAATCCTGGGGAAGGGTAAATGGAGAACAACTGGTGACCTAGAATTGGGAATGGCAGGCAGGTATACAGTTTGGTAAATGTAGAGTAGATGGGTGGAAATAAAATGCGAAATAGTCTAGACTCTAGAGCATTGACAGATCATGGCAACCAGATATTTATTTAAATTGCTTTTATAGTTAACCTAGCTGTTCAAATTCAAAAAAAGCAACTTATTGTTTTCTTTTTAAAGAGAACCAGAACTATGTACATTACATTAACTAATAATTATTATTATATAGTAAATATTACTGCTCAATGTCGGCCACTTCCGCACAGCATCCTGCAGGGAGACAGCGTGGGAGGAGGCAGCCGCAGCGTGAGGGGAGAGGAGCATGAAGAGCTCCAGACCCCTCACTCCCACAGCAGCAGCAGGACTCCAAGACACCCTCCTGGCACATAAGGTAAGCTGACAGGAGGGTGGCTGGAGATATAAATAAAAAAAATCACGTGTGTGTGAGTGTGTCTGTAAATGAGTGTACGTGTATGTGTGTGAGTGAGGGTATGAGTGTAAGTGTATGTGTGTATGAGTTTGAGCATATTAGTATCAGTGTGTGTTTGTATGTGTGTGTGTCAGGGTGTATGTGTGTGCAGCTGTGTGTGTGTATATATATATGTCAGTGTGCTTCTGAGTGTGTGTGTGTGCACACATCTGTGTATGTGCATCTGTGTGTCAGGGTGTGTGTTTTTATGTCAGTGTGTCATGGTGTGGGCATGTATCAATGTTTGTGTGTGTCAGATTGCATGTGTGTGTGTCTGTGTCGGTGTGTATCTATATGCAGGGGAGGGCTGGCAGCCTTAGGCCTGGGGGGCAAAACCAGTCAAGTGGCCCATTGCACCACCAAATCAGTGCAATAGTGCCCACCTTTTCCTGGTTTTATAACGGATATTGATGTTATGCTAATCAGTAGCTCTTTGCCATACCTGCTCCTTCACGGCTCTGACTTTCAATGTTGTCAGAGCGCAGGCTGAGAATCTCTGAGCCTGTGCTCTGACTCACTAACTGAGCGCCGGAACCACGAGGGAGAGGCTATAATCTGACTGCACCTACTGCTGGTGCGCACCAGTGGACCACCAGCGAATCGTTTAAATTGAATAGGCTGGTGTCCCCAACTTGTGAGCTGTGTTGTCCGCCGGGCGCCTCTGTTGTGATGGCACCCTGCGTGACCGCACAGCGTGCACACCCCAACGGCTGGCCCTGCTGACACACACTGATGTTACTACTTAGAAATCCCTCAATATTAATACAGACATCAGAGTAAACACCAATAAACTGTGGAAACAGAGCTGATCCCACCCAAATTTATAAAGATTTGCTTACTGGATTTGTTGTAAGATTAAATCATGCCTCCTCCATTCTCTCTTCCATGCGCTGCTCTGTAAGCTGGGAGGAAGTGAAGAGTAATCACAATCTCCCAGCACAGTGGCACCTGTGGCTGCATGGGGAACAGCTATATTTGCCGCCCCCCATGTGACATCACAATGCCCCACCTATATGAGCTGCCATATGAACCAACGCCAGTGCTGCCCACAGTGTGTGTTTACATTAAAAATCCTACAGGGACCGGCTATAGACACCAGAACCACTTAATTAAGTTCCAGTCGTTCTGGGGACTATAGTGTCCCTTTAATGTAATGTAAATTATAGATTAGTGTCACTAATAATATACTAGATTGCCTACTTACAACCAAATGAGGATGATGATGGGCTGCAGTTTGGCTCCACTGGTCTGGTGTAGAACAGGATCTCTGGAGGCTGTTTGCAACTGTGGTCACAAAATTCAATGTTCTGGGAGAATTGGAAGCAGCTCCATTTTTTGGGGGCCCCTTACACAGCTCAAGGTCTGGGCCCCAGGGCCTGATGGTGAGTATGCCCACAAGGCCCACTCATAAGTCCACTTATATGTTCCACCCACCCATGAGTTCGCTCACAGGGAGTGGAGTGTGTAGGGGATGTGTTATGTGTTATTGTAGAAGATCTAATATGTGTGCTTATGGTATGTAGTGTATAGGGATACCAGTTTGTGCAGGTGATGCAGTGTGTTTGTGTGTAGTGGAAGCAGTGTGTATTAGTGTATTAGGGATGTATTGTGTGTTTCTGGTTGTGTGTTAGTGATGCATTGTGTTTCTGTGTGTATGTAAGAAAAGCAGTGTGTGTGTAAGTGTTTGCATTATGTGTTTCTGTGTATGTGTGCAAAGGATGCATTGTCTTTGTGTGTAAGTGTTGCAGTCTGTGTGTGTAATGGATGCATTGTGTGTTTCTCTGTGTGTAAGGGAAGCATGTTGTGTTTCTGTGTGTGTAGGGATGCATTTTGTGTTTCTGTGTATGTATAGGGATGCATTGTGTGTGTGTGTGTGCGCGTAGTGTCCTCTCCTCCCTGTGTCCTCCTCACCTCCCCCTCCCTGTGTTCTCGTCACCACCCACCCTCCCTGTGTTCTTCTCAGTCCCCCCCTTCTCCTCATCTCCCCTTCTCCTCACTCTTAATCTCCCCCCCTCCTTGTGTTCTTCTTACTCCCCCCTTGTTCTTCATGCCCCCCTTCTTCTTCTTACTCCCCCTCCTCCTCCTTCTGTTACTCCCCCCTCCTTCACTTACTCCCCCCTTCACTTACTCCCCCCATCTTCACTTACTCCCCCATCGGCGCAGCCTCCTTCGCCTCCCCCCACCTCTTTGCTTTCTCACATCTTGCCTTACTTTCCCCATCTTCCGCCTCCCCTTCATTTACACCCCCCCATCTTCGCACTCCCCTTTCTTCCCCGCTTGTACTTACTCCCCAATCTTCGCCTCCCCAGCTTGCGCCCACCCCCATCCTTTGTTTAAACCCCCCCTCCTTCATTAGCATCCCCATCTTCGCCTCTCCCCTTCACTTCTCCCCATCTTCCTTACTCCACCTCCTTCATTTTACACCCCCCCTCTTCCTTACTCCCCCTCAGCTTCATTTACGCCCCCCATCTTCCTTGCCCCCCCTCACTTACTTCCTTACTTCGCCTCCCCCTTCCTTCACTTACACCCCCCATCTTCACTTACTCCCTCCTCACTTACACACCCCATCCTTCGACTACGTCCCCCCTCCTTGTTAACACCCCCCCATCTTCACTTACTTCCCACCCCTTCAGCCTCCCCATCTTCACTTACTCCTCCTCCTTCGAACACGCCCCCCCTCTTCACTTGCTCCCCCTCATGGGTTGCACCCCCATCTTTAACCTCACCCTCCTTCATTAGCACTACCATGGGTCACTTACTCTTGCCTTCACTTGGCTTATACCCCTCCTTCATTTACACCCCCCCTTTCGCCCGCTCCCCCCTCCTTCTTGTTTTACACCCCATCTTCGCCTCCCCCCCCTCCTTGCTTGCTTCACCCTAGCTCCCCCTCCTTCACTTACTCCCTTCATTCCTTACTCCCCCCCTCCTTCACACAGCACTCCCTCCCCTCTTCCTTGCTCCACCTCCCCTTGCTCCTCCTTCACTTCTCCCTCCTTCCACCTCCTCCCCAGCAACCTCCTCCCCCATTCCTTACTCCTCCCCCCCTCCTCACCTCTCCCTTGCCCTCCCCTGTAGCGTGGCCGAGCTGCTTGCTGGTCCGCGGTGCCCAGCCGGACTGATAGGAAGGCGCACGCTGAGTGTGCACTTCCTGTCAGTCCGGCCGGTTACAGGAAACAGAAACTCTGCGCGGAACAGGAGTTTCTGTTTCCTGTAACCAGAATTTAGGGCGGCCTGGGAGGCAATTGCCTCCCGGCCCAGCCCGCCCCTGTCTATATGTGTGTATGTGTCGGTGTCTAAATGAATTTGTGTGTATGTGTTGGTGTATTTATATGTATCTGTGCATGAATATCTGTGTAAGTATGTATGTATGTGCATAAATCCAAGCAGTCAAACACCAGCACAACATAGAAGCACATCCTGCAATCTAACACAAATATTATATACAAACACACCCCTGCATTAAAAAAATATATATATCCAAACACAAATACTTCACACAAATGTACATCCACATTTAAAAGTGAACATTACATTCAGACACACCCCTGCAATCAAACACAAACATCACATACAAACACACGCCTGTATTAAAACACAATAAATGGATACAAGCCCCCATTTAAACACCAACACTGTACATTTCAATACAGCGCCAGTAAATGCGGCAGTGCTGTACAGATATACAACCTAGAAGTTTTGACTTGGGAAAAATACTGAAATGTTTTTTGTTTTTTTTTATAATTCTTTATTTTAGCAGTGCATGGAAAATAACATATGCAAGTAATAAAATGACATTGATTAATAATGCTAAAAAGTAATACTCTAAAATTTGACTTTAGGTCAGGTCAGGCACTGCTCCTTCGTCCAATGTGGAGTTAGGAAAAACAATGTCCCCCCCAAACCTCAAGTCAATAAAGTCATCAGGTTATACTAATAAATAGGGGTAACCCTGATAAAGTTAATGATATAGCGTAAAAGAACTAATTCTCAAACTACAGCACCCAATTAGGTGGCCACCTAATTGGGTGCTGTAGTTTGAGAATTAGTTCTTTTACGCTATATCAATGCTAAAAAGTAGTTTGCATGTACAGAGCATGGTGAGAGAGATGCACCATTTTTTATTTTCTTTTGTGGTACAAGCAATAGGCAAGAAATCCTGACCTGGGCTAGACATTGCACAAAAACAACAATATTAAACATTTGGTTTGCATGTCAGGCAGGCAGGGTACCCATTGTGATGATATAGTATGCAAAACCAGGCATAAATGCCAAATGAACTGAGGCCATCGTTAGAGGGTTATGTGGCAATCTAGGGAGTGCTGTAAGTGTAGATCTGTCCAGGTTAGGGATAACACCTTACAGCCTGTGCTTAAATTTATGTGAATCTTACAATTTAGCTGGGTAGGAATGAACGAGAACCGAGGTTATCATATCAAAAATAGCTACTATTAATCGATTGTGAGCAGTTTGGTAGCTTTTAAAGGTGGTCGTGTAGCTTGATGTGGGCTTAAGTATATGGGTGTGAGTGTCAATAATGAGTGTCCTCATTATTTTGATCAGTCTCGCTTTTCGGGCCTGGGTTATAGATAATAGTGGTGTTTCAGGTGTAACAGGGTTGATGTTCCAGGAGGGATAAGCCAAATGACAAATGATTTAGGTAAACTAGAAAAATGGTCAGAATTGTGGCAAATGGCATTTAATGTGGATAAGTGCAAGATAATGCATCTTGGATGTAAAAACCCAAGGGCAGAGTACAGAATATTTGATAGAGTCCTAATCTCAACATATGAGGAAAGGGATTTAGGGGTGATTATTTCTGATGACTTAAAGGTAGGCAGACCATGTAATAGAGCAGCAGGAAATGCTAGCAGAATGCTTGGTTGTATAGGGAGAGGTATTAGCAGTAGAAAGCGGGAAGTGCTCATGCCATTGTACAGAACACTGGTGAGACCTCACTTGGAGTATTGTACACAGTACTGGAGACCGTATCTTCAGAAGGATATTGATACCTTAGAGAGGGTTCAGAGAAGGGCTACTAAACTGGTTCATGGATTGCGGGATAAAACTTACCAGGAAAGGTTAAAGGATCTTAACATGTATAGCTTGGAGCAAAGACGAGACAAGGGGGATATGATAGAAACATTTAAATATATAAAGGGAATCAACAAAGTAAAGGATGAGACTATATTTAAAAGAAGAAAAACTACCACAGCAAGAGGACATAGTCTTAAATTAGAGGGACAAAGGTTTAAAAATAATATCAGGAAGTATTACTTTACTGAGAGGGTAGTGGATGCATGGAATAGCCTTCCAGCTGAAGTGGTAGAGGTTAACACAGTAAAGAAGTTTAAGCATGCGTGGGATAGGCATAAGGCTATCCTAACTATAAGATAAGGCTAGGGACTAATGAAAGTATTTAGAAAATTGGGCAGACTAGATGGGCCGAATGGTTCTTATCTGCCGTCACATTCTATGTTTCAGCAAAAGGAGTTTGGGCTGACTCTAGCTGTTAGTGCACCTAACCAGGGGGGCTGCGGGGGGGAGGGGAGAGGAGTCACGGTAGGTGTAAAGCACTACCTCTGTACCCCTATCTTATGGAGCATTGCCCATCCTTTCAAGGCCTCATATAGAGAATCGTTATTTTCCAGCTCCTACACAAGGAGGATAGTTTGGTTGCGGTAACCTTGTCTAGCCAGATGAACAATATAAGGTAAAGAAAACTGTTTAAAGGTGAAATGGTGTGGAATGGGTGCAGCCCAGTGCTGCCTGTTGCTTGTTGAGATCTGAGCTTAGTCATGTCCCAGTGCTCGTGGTCATGCGGTCCCGTGGGGTAAAGGGGACTACTGTGGTTGGGTCCCAAGTGAGCGTTCTTCTACGATCTCTTGACACCTCACCAAGGGCGGACAGTCCCATTGCCCGCAACAGTGCAGGTGCCTCTTCAGCTGAGGTAATCTTGGGGCCAGACCCATTGTGGGTCACCGTGAGGGCTCGTGGAGTAACTCCTGCGTTTCTTAGTTGACTCATAATTGGGAGGAGCGTTTTGCGCCATTGCAAGGTGGACCTCGACAGGTCTTGGTAGAAGGACAGGTCAGCACCCTCAAATGTGTAAGGATTTTGGTTTCGCAGGGCTGAGAGGAGTGCCTTTTTGTCTTGGGCCAGGGCGCAGCGAACTATGATGTCGCTCAAGGCATTCGTTGGAGCCCTTGGTGATTTTGGTAGGTGGAACATGCAATCAAAAGTGAGCATTTTGGCTTGTGTCGGTGGCAGTAGTGAGGCCGCTAGTCGTCTCAAATAGTGGGGCATCTCTTCCATAGTGACAGACTCTTATCTTCAGGTTATTATGTCTGGAACGGTCCTCCAGCGTAGCAAGGTGTGTGGAGAATGCTTGTTGTTTTTTGGACATTTTGCAGGGAGTCTTTCACACAGGTCACTTCCCGCCTCACATCTATGATGTCCTCTTCAGTGGCTCTCACCCTGTCTGTAACCACCTGTAACTCAGCCTGGATGACTGCTATGTCCATGGGTCGCATCTGAATTCAGTTAATAGATTTTTTATATCCTGCTTAGTTGCGGGAGCTGATATATCGGGGAAGCCTGCAGCTGTTTGCACTGGTGCTTGTGGCAGGGTGTGAGCATGACGGCAGTCAGGTGTTTGCGTCTGAGGGTTCGCCAGGGCCTCCTGGTTCTCTAGGGCCGCCATTTTGGGCAGGGCCTGGCTTTACAATAGGGCCCCAATGTCTTGGGATTCGCTTGGCGTACCTGGCGGAGCTTTCTGTGACTGTCTCCCCATGGTTGAGGGCTGATCGGCAGGTAAGTTGTTTTCTGTGCTCCAGTCCGAATTGCGCTGGAAGGGGATGTGCGCCAGTAGATCTTCCAGGCGTGTAGGGAGATGGTAGGCCGCAGGCCTTTTCCGTCGCCGACTCTGTCCGAAATTAGCAAAGAACGGCATGTGCCGACACCGGGAGTCGCCGGGGTGTAGATGCTTGTGTGGATTTCGTTGGATGGGTTGTGTATCTTAAGATATTCATCAGATTGTATAGAGCACCACCGGAGCTGCGGAAAATGGCATCTGCTTCATTCCGCGGTTAATCCCCGCCCCAAAATACTGAAATATTAAGGGCGCCTTAAACCTAAAAAGTTTGGAAACCACTGTTATATATATTTTATTATAATTCTATTTTCATCCCACTCGAGAATTAATGCCCCTTTTTCTACAAAACAATACCTTAGCAACTGCTGATTGACATTGTCTATAACAATTCCCAAATCCTTCTCATGTGTTATCCCTAATTCATTACCATTTAGGGTGTAAGTTGCACCCAAACTTTGCATTTATCTACATTAAATTTAATCTCCAATCTATTTAAATCTCTCTGCAGTGACATAATATCCTGCTCACATTGTATTACTTTACAGGGTTTTGTGTCTCCTGCAAACACTGAAATATGACTTACAATACCTATTTTAAGATTACTTATTAATATATTAAATAGCTATTTTAGCATTAATTCTTGGGGACACTTTCCCAAGCAGGACAAGCCTCCTTCATGACGTTGATACACCGGCTTAGTTGACGTCCCTCCATTCCTAAACCCTTTAGCCAGCACTAGCAGCGTTGGCAATTGAGTTACCATAGCAAGTTGATTATGGATGGAGAGTGTCTGTCACAAGTTGAGAGACAAATGGGAGTAAACCCTACTTTTAAATAGTTTTTCTTCAAATCTAAAAAATTGCTAGGCTTGACTAGGCTGGATAGTTTCTGTGAAAATGAGTCTCTTCTTTCTATGTCTTGTCTTGGAAGCAACATGGGATTATTTAAATAAAGTGTTGAATCATTGGGGGAAGGTAACTGAACTAAATCTAATCCAATACCCTTATAAACAGAGTTATTGGCAAAGCAGAGATTACAGTCACCTGTGTATACATAATGCAGGAGGGCTGTATAGTGTTAGTGTAAACTTTTTACCTGCTTCACATTCACTGAGTTGCTATCGACCTCATTGAAATCTAAACTCATAAGCCGAATTCAGGGCAAATTGCTATATATGGATTCTAGTGGACAGATGTCCAGATTAATTTCTTACATTGAACTCTGTGATGTGCTGTTGGACCCGGACTAGATTAGTTTAAGGACGTGAATGTGAATTATATCTCATGTCTGCTTTTGTCATTTCTGAATTTAGTGAATAAATCTCTTGTACGTCATTATTATTTCCCTGTGTCTTCTATCTGTTAGACTGTGCATTATTCACTCATCCAGCTTAGAGTCCGATCTTTTAAACATGCAGTTAATGAATGACTTTATGGTAGTGTCAAATGACTTATCTGGAGTCCATATAAACTAAGATCTATCCACTGTTTAGTTTGACCTGCACGTTGTTACCCATCAAAATATTAAATTGGAATTGGCTGCCATCCATAATCTTCGTGCCGTAAAGCCATTCTGCTGTGTAAGTGATTGAACAAACTGTTTTTTTCTTTTGAACTTTCCATTACTGTTCTCTCTACTGTGATGTAAGATGCAGAAAATACTCAAAACTACCGATCTATTCTTACAAAATCATGAAGCAAATCCTTTGTGTAACACCTAACACCCACCATTTTTTTTCCTGAATGAAATAGAAATCAAAACCAACCAGGTTACAAAGGTGTTACCAGGCTGACTACTTACATTTAATCACTTGCAATAGTGGATGCCCACACTTTTTGCTGTGGCTGACTAAATTAGCATATTTTATTCCCTTGTGTTTGTGGGCATTTTAAGGGGCATTCTTAGCAACGTAACCACTACAGTAAATCGCAGTTAGTATGGTGTATAGAGATACTGGGTATCATTTTCCCATCTTATACCTGCTGCATATGCTCCATGCCTCCCCTTCCTTTTTGCATCTAAACTTTGCACGTCACCTCTCCTCCCCCAACTTTAGTATTTCTGTTTTACCTCCTCTTCCCAGAAGTGTTTTCATGGTTGATGGGTTCTGTACTCATAATATCATACTTATCATATATCGTACGTACTTGATGCATTCTAGTTTTGCTGTATGTTCATTTATTTTTATTTAATGGGTGCCAAATGGATGACTGGTGCTTTTTAGGTGATACCTCTATTCAGTATGGATGATACTTGAAATAGGCAATGTATGCATTTTAAAGGCACAGTCACTTTTCTGGGAATTACATGGCTGAATAAAGCATTGGAAATTACCTATGTCTTCTGTTAACTTTTATTCATGCAATGCTTTGTTTTATTATAAAATTATGTTTACAATTTAGCAAATGACACCACATTCCAGTTAAGTCAAAGCATGGACAGGGAAAACAGAGCAAATAAATAGAAGAAAGAGAAGCATTGTTTTGTCTACCTTTTTCTATCTATGCATTCTGTATGGTGACTGCCAAGTGCAAAGGATAAAGCTTATAACAAGGAACCAAGATGGAGGTGCCCAATTTTAGAATAGAGAGGTCTTGATTTCCACCTTTGAATTAATTCTTCACACCTCACAAACACATATAAGTTAAACACAGGGAACAGATAAACATAATATTTAAAGTTCTGGCAGGTGAGAGTTCCTCTTTAAAAATAAGATTGTACACTTCGCCACTTGCCGAGCTCTGAGTCCGAGAGGACCCCCAGACGCACCACCAAGAGATGTCATATGCTGCATGGAGGTATTTGCAGATAAAGAATCTGTGCTGCGGGCGGCCAGGGAGAAGGACGTTATTCGCTACAGGCAAGCTGACCCACGGCTATACCCCAACCTCTCCCAGGCTACATTGCAGTACCGGAGACTGCTCAGGTCCCTAACCGTTGCCCTCCAGGCGTCAGGAACCAGGTACCGCTGGCTCCTTCCATCTGGACTATCTGTGACCACACCAGAAGGATCTGTAGTGATACGTACTCAGGCAGACTTTGTTAATTTGGGGACTCTCATTTCCATCCCCCCTGTTGAACATGAAATGGCCTTACCCCTCAGACTTTTACTTGCCTGAAGCCAGGACGCCTCTGGCCTTACCCCACAGGGACCGACAACCCCGCCAAGCAACCACCCGAGCAGCTGGGGCCCCATCATAAACAGACACCCCCTGTGACGCTTCACCTGCATGCCCTCACCCACCGCGATGACCTCCTGGAGTACCGACTCTGACTAACCGTTGATAAGTACATGAAGAAGATTAAAAATAAGAAAAGGGCATTTAAATCAGACAACTTATAGGCATCGTATTTAAGATATAAGGAAGCCAATAACGCTTGCAAAAAGGCAGTGGCTAAACTAGAAAATGAGAAATTTATAGCTAAAGAATGCAAAACCAACCCCAAAATTTTTTTCAAGTACATCAATTCTAAAAAAACAAAAAATGAAAGTGTAGGTACACTTGAAACAGAGTTGGGTTTATTAGCTAATGAAGACCAGGAAAAAGCAGAAATTTTAAATAACTATTTTTCTTCAGTATATATTAATGAGGATCCTATGGCAAGAGATATGCAAATGATTGCTGCAAATAACTTGTGATTGGATAACTCGAGACAAGGTGCTACAGCTATTAAGGAAAATTAATGTAAATAAAGCGCCGGGGCCTGACGGTATTCACCCACGAGTACTTAAGGAGCTAAGTGGGGAAATAAGTGAACCTCTGTATTTAATTTTTCAAGATTCTTTTGTTTCAGGTGTTGTACCGAAGGATTGGAGGAAGGCAGATGTTGTTTCTATATTTAAAAAGGGTTCAAAATCCTTGCCTGGAAATGATAGACCTGTGAGCTTAGCTTCTGTAACTGGGAAAATATTTGAAGGGCTATTAAGGGATAATATTCAGGAATTCATTGGGAAGAACTTTGTTATTAGCAATAATCAGCATGGTTTTATGAAACATAGGTCATGTCAAACTAATCTAATTGCATTTTACAAAGAAGTAAGTAGAAGTATAGATCAGGGTGTTGCAGTGGATGTGATCTACTTGGATTTTGCCAAGGCATTTGATACAGTTCCTCACAATAGGTTAGTCTTCAAACTAAAAGAAATTGGTCTAGATGAATATTCTTGTTCTTGGGTAGAACATTGGCTTAAGGATAGAGTACAATAAGTTATAATTAATGGTAAATTTTCAGGCTGGACAAAGTGGTAAGTGGTGTCCCTCAGGGTTCTGTTTTGGGACCACTTCTATTTAACATATTTATAAATGATCTTGAAATAGGCATTGAAAGCCATGTATCAGTGTTTGCAGATGACAAAACTTTGTAAAGTAATAAAATGTGAGCAGGATATTGCTTTGCTGCAGATAGATTGGGGAACTGGGCACTAAAATGGCAGATGAAATTTAATATAGAGAAATGCAAAGTTATGCACTTCGGGGTTAAGAATGCACAAGCAACTTACACCCTAAATGGTAGTGAATTAGGGATAACCACACACGAGAAGGATTTTGGAATTGTTATAGACAACAAATTAGGCAGCAATATGCAATGTCAATCTGCAGTTGCTAAGGCCAGTAAGATTTTGTCATGTACAAATAGGGGCATAAATTCTCGGGATGAAAATATAATTTTGCCTCTTTATAAATCGCTGGTAAGACCACACCTTGAATATGCTGTGCAATTTTGGGCGCCTGTTCTAAAGAAGGATGATATGGCACTGCAGAGGGTCCAGAGACGAGCTACAAAATTGATATAAGGAATGGAGCATTTTAGTTATGAAGAAAGGCTAAAAAAAAAAAAATTAAATCTGTTTAGTTTGGAAAAACGGCGCCTGAGAGGGGATATGATAACTTTATACAAATATATTCGGGGCCAGTACAAACCTTTTTCTGGAAATCTATTCATAAACAGGGCTATACATAGGACACAATGTCACACATTTAGGCTGGAAGAAAGGAGATTTCATCTAAGGCAAAGAAAAGGTTTTTTTACAGTAAGAACAATAAGGATATGGAATTCTCTGCCTGAAGAGGTGGTTTTGTCACAGTCCATACAGATGTTTAAACTGAAATTGGATAAATACTTACAAAAACATAACATACAGGAATATAATTTCTAATTAGTGGGGTAATAGCTGCTTGATCCAAGGAGACATCTGACTGCTATTTTGGGGTCAAGAAGGAATTTTTTCCTAGTTTGTGGCAAAATTGGAAACGCTTCAGACCAGGTTTTTTACCTTCTTTTGGATCAACAGCAACAACATTTGTGAGGAAGGCTGAACTTGATGGATGCAAGTCTCTTTTCAGCTATGTAACTATGTAAGAAGTGCGACCCCCACTCCCTTAACCCCTCTTCCCCATCAGTTTCCTTGCCCCCTCTTTCCTCCCCGAAATTTCCCTCTCCCTTCCCCCTCATCTCCTCTCCCTTCCCCCTCCCCTCCCTGTCCTCCTACCTCCCCCCTCCTCTCCCTTCCCCCTCGTACCTCCTCCCCTTTTAATTTAAGCTATTTATGCACAGTGGGCAGTTTAATACATTAAAATTGAAGGAAATTCAAACAAAACTGACCCTGACCCTATAGTGTTAAACTAACTATTTACCCCTCCCTGGCTCCCCTTTAAAGCTAGTAAAAACTCACACTGTGCAGAACTGCCCCAGGAAGCACCTCTAGTGGCCGTTTAAGGAGTGGCCACTGGAGGTTTCCCTAGGTTGTAATGTAAAAACTGCCTTTTCTCTGAAAAAACAGTGCTTACTGCAAAAAGCCTACCTGGACTGACTATAATCACCTGAACAATTACATTAAGCTGTAGGTTTTCTGGTGACTATAGTGTCCATTTAGGCTTGTACAATGAAAGCTGGGATAGTGTGCAAGTAACTTTTCTTGACTTTTGATAATTTTGAACTGAATATTCTAAGCAGCCACCCCAGCTTGATGTTCGTTAAAAGCCACAAACACACCAAGCATCACAAAATAAGACCGGATTGAATCTGACTCTCTGTGACCTGAATTAAATAAATACTGTACTACTTTACGATTTTCAGAATACCAGAATTTATAGAAGCACTCTTGTTTGTGTTCAAAGTAAGTACTGAAGTGGATGCATAACCCAGTGTAAGTAACACAATATTAAGGGACACTATAGTCAACATATAAAAGCAAAAAAGACAGGTCCCCCAGCCTTCTTTTTTGCTTTTATATGAACTTGCCATAAAAAAAAAAAATCTGAGTAAGTTTTAATAATAAAACTAACCTCCGTTCCAGCGCCGAGCTCCCCGCAAAATGACAAAATCGCAGGGCCCAATAGGACGCTTCTCCTTGAGAAGCATCATCGCGATGTGGTGCGCATGCGCGGTTGTGGTGCGACTGACAGCTCAGCTCGCTTTCTATACCCGCCCCCCTCCTCAGCCAAACTGTGTGTTTGCATGTTTGCATAGAAACACTATATATAGAGATCTCTCTATATATAGTGTTTCTATGCAAACACACAAGTAGTTAAAAATTAAAGACATACACACACACTCTTTCTCCATCCTTATCCATCCATCATCCATATCCATCCATCCCCATCATCCATATCATCATCCATCCCCATCATCCATATCCATCCCCATCATCCATATCCATCCCCACCATCCATGCCCATCATCCATATCCATCCAGTTACCCACTCACACTCACTAAATAAGTTTACTTACAGTTTGAATCCTCCCCTCCTCCTCGGCCTCCGGTCTTCAGCTTGTCCGCTTAAGCCACTCCCACGCAGACAGGATGTTCGTGCACAGTGCTGCCAGAGCTTCCCTGAGCTCTGCTGACTGCAGATCTGAGTGGATGGAGGCGTTTTATGCCTCAATCAACTCGGAAGTCCCTCTGGTGGCAGTTTGAGTGACTGCAACTGGAGGTGTCCCTAGCTTTGAATGTAAACACTGTATTTTCTCAGAAAATACAGTGTTTACATGAGAGAGGCTGCAGGGAGCTATAGTTCTCACCTGAACAACCTCATTAAGCTGAAGTTGTTCAGGTGACTATAGTGTCCCTTTAAGGAAAGTCAAATGATGACTATCGTTAATGTATGTTGACAACTGTTAAACATGGTGGGAGATTTGTAACAGCATTGGCAGCCACCTCATGGGAGCCATTTTGTACAGTGATTGTTTTGATTGGCCATGTAATGACCATGGACTATGAGGTCATTTTACAGGTTCACAAACACTGTTACTTTGTGATGTTCACATACCTTTGGATTTACAGTGCTTACATGCATATAACGAACAGTGAAAATCATTTGTGGTGTAGTAAACACCAAAATAGAGTTAAATGCCCTTCATAGCCTCTCCAATCACCATATCATGTTACCACTGAAAGGTTATGAACTAGACACCTTTCTTCTTGAACAGTGGTGCAAAATCCCATGAAATGATATACTGGCATTGAATAAAAGAATTTCAAGATGGATTGGTTCTTAGTGACCGTAGGCATTACTAGTTCCTTACTATTAATATATAGTATGGTGTTTTTGTTAAATTATCTACTGTCAAAGTAAAAACGATTCCGTACAGCATTGTACTATAAGCAGGTGGGACTGGGCTGCGCTGACATGTATAGCCATGTCCACAGTCCCACTGTTTCCCACTACAGGTGGGTGGAACTATTCTTATGGCACAGATGGGGGGGCAGAGATAGGAACACACAAGGGTTGAAGTGGTTGGACTGACTGACTGAGGGAGGTGAAAAACATGAGCGTCGGGTGGCGAGAAAGATGAGAATAGGAAGAGCTTGGAGAGACACCAGGGAGTAGAGTTGGTTGTTGGGAGGAAACATATGTAAGAGGAATAGACCCATAAGGGGAGAGGCACATAGGTGGGGAGAGATGTGTGAGAGACAAGTGAGAGTGAGGCACAAATAGAAGGGGAGAAATAAATGGGGAAAGATGAGAGAGATTGAATTTGGGGAAAAATAGCATTGAGAGAGACGATTGAAGGGCAGAAGATGGAGTATGGCAAAAGAGGGAACAGAATGGAAAGTAAGATACAAGTGGGGGATAGAACAATAAGCAAGATACAAATTCTGTTTTTCTAATCAGAGTGTGTGGGCTTTGGATTCCCACAGAAATAGTTTTTTTTGTGTTTTTTGTTTGTTTGAGGGGTGTTTTTTTTTTTTTATAAACTACTTGAAAATAGTGTGACAAAAAAAACAGCTGAAATATGCATTAATATCCTCCTTGCACGTTAACTATTACAATAAGCTGTGGGGGGCAAATCTTCCCTGGGTGCCAAACACCCTAGTTACACCTCTGGTTCAGTGAATGCTTTCTCACTCAGGCTTTTATCAAGAATTAAGATGCAGAGACTGTATTTTCTCTGAAGTGCAAGATAAAGTGTAGAAAACCTGTTCATTGGGCCCTGATCTGGAAAATAAGTTCCAAGAAAAGCCTGTTCTCTGAACTGGGAAGTAAAGTACAGGAGAGGCCTGCTCACTCAGCTGCATCTTAATTTCCTTCTCAATCTTACCCCAATTAATTTTCACAAACTGAATCTCATGATGCTACAGGCTTAATATGCTGCCCAGCATACCAACCATAAAACGGAATAAATAAATAAATATAATCTGCTAGTATTAGGAAGGATCCTTTGTAATGTTTATTATGAATTATGTCAAGGAGAGGGTTAATATTACACACTGAGTGAAGGCTCAGGTCCATACGATCTCTCAGCTATCAATATTATTACCATGCTCTTTAAGCTCCATATCCTTTCTGCCCATGGTGGAGGGTTTGTGTTAATTACTTGAATGCTGCAGCATTTCCTGTTTTAATTGTGTTTAGCTGGATGTGGATATGTCTACATAAAAATCAAAACATGCAGAAAAGTTAATTTCCTTGCTTGCCATCAATAAAATATATATATTTGTATGTTGGGGTGCAGAAGGTGTTTGCTGCCCCCTGGTGGACTTATCAGATCCAACTTTCTATCCAGTTGTGTGTCCTCTGTCATGGAGCACAGGAAGGTTGATTTGTGTTAATGAAGAGGTGCAGGAATTGAGGCATTGGTCCCCTACTGTGTTCTAGCACTCTGAGTCTGCATGTGTGTGGTGACTCAGAAGGCAGAGCAGGGACATTTGACCCCATTTATTAGCCTCACGAGGTGCTATTGAGTTAAGAGGACTGAGGGTCAGCTGGAAGGCAGCGGTCACACGCCGGTCACATTCAGCAGGTCATTCCTTTTCCAAGACAGAAAGCAATCGTCTAGAACAAGTAGTGGCAGCCTTATTCCTGCCAGGTAATTCTTATAAATGAGAGCAGACACCAAGTAAAGATCAGGGATGGAGGAGACTGTGTTAATGTAGACACTTTTTGCAAAGCCAGTGTAAAAAAAAAAGAACAGGCCTTGTAATAGGCAGATTGAAAAATAAAATAAATATATTGTGTGTGTATATATATATATATATATATATATAACATAATAATTGGCAGCACACAGAGGACTTACAAAACAAGAGTCATTACTAATACATGTCCAACACAATGGATGTTAAAACCATATAGGGTCATTATCAGGACATGTATTAGTAAAGACTTGTTTTGGAAGTCCTCTGAGTTAATTATGTTTATTCATATTTGTGCAGGTTAGCAACTAGGCATATTGAAGATTACAGATATTTGTTATATTATTTATTTTTATTTGTGTGTCTATATATATATATATATATATATGTGTTACAAACTAAGAATGCAGTTGGTAATATATTATGCAAACTGTGTCATAACACACAATCACACTGTCACAAGACTAGCAGTAGCTAAAAATGCTAGGCTTTGCAGCCACTTGCGTTCCCTGAACCAAACCTTTACTTTTGATTCTTTTTTTTTCGCTCTTACCCCGTGCAATTGTGATTTTACTAGTTAACTGGGTTCACCTGAAGAGGCGTCCTTCTTGACTTACCTTTTTTGTTACATGTGCCATTGACTTGAAAGTTTACTGCACATTAAGGTATTCATACATTCTTTTTCATTCATTTGGATTTTTTTTTTTTATTATTTTTTTTTTTAAACCAAGATTCATTGATATTTGCATATGTTGAAGTATAGGACGCTTTATTAACATGCGTCAGTTATTTAATCTCTCCCATGGGTCCTGCAGCCTCTTGTGTGCTTCCAGCGTGAGTTTCAAATTACGAACCCCAGCTATTCATCCATTTAGATGTAGCATGGATGCAACTGATAGGATAAATAAAGCAAAATTATTCTGGTAAATAGAGTATTTATTGATACAAATCTAACTGTATATAGTGTTAGGCAAATAGGTTTTGACTACTATATATGATATAAAATATTAGACATTCCACACAGGCACTGCCAGACCACTCTAGTAGACATGACAGGATGGCAATTTGATCAGTAACAGCTGTATGTCATCAGACGTGTTCCCTGGCACTGAACTAATTAACAAAAGACTGCATATAGAACAGTGTATTTAACATATCAGAAAATACAGAAACTTCGAGGGTTCCCTAATAAAGTAAAGAAGAGAAATAGAGAATACAAAAAACACCCAGCTTTCACCAAAAACGGTTTTCACCAATATCCAGACGCAATAAACAAAAACACTTTTATTAAAACTGGTTTGATAAAGGCCTTAGGGGGCCAAAGCATCACCCATGTACTTGGCACCTTAATAAAGGATCTCTCGTCTTCAAGGTTTATTCTGGACTGTTTGTTTTTGTCCCTATTAAAGAGAAAAGAACAAAATAAGAAACCACAACAAAGCATTAGAAGCATAAAGCACTTTGAAATATTCTTTAAGTTTTATATTATATTTTAGTAATATGTTTCAACTGGCCTGCCATCTTTGATATGTGAAATCAAGGCATTTGTGTATCCATGCTCCTTATTGACATACAAGTAGTAAAGTAAGCTGCTCATTTAATAAGAAAATGCACACAGTGAACAGCCATGTAGGAAAAGGAGGCCAGGTGCATTACTGTATATATTATGTTACAAGCTCAAGAAAACCGTAAAGAAATTGTAAATGTTAAAATTTCTTATTAACTGACAATGTTAACAGAAAATATAGTGACATGTTTGTTTTTTCTTGCAGTTTATTCATGTTTTTTTGTTTTTGGGTGATAGGCAGAGAGTGTCAGAAACCTCATTTTTAATTAATGAGGGGTAGAAAGGTTTAAGATTTATTAAGTAAAAGACTGTAATACAGAGCTACCGACATTCTGTGCTTTCTCAAGTCATCCGTGTTTCTAACAAACTACTTAAAACTAACACATTCTGCAATGTGTAAGGCAGCTCATTTTCCAGCCTAGACTCGGTCTCTTCGCACTTCTTTTACTATATCACTCATATTTCCTTGTCATCTATTACTTAAATATGTTCTTTGAAACACCTTACATCTCTTCAGGGAAAACACACGATTCCATGAAAATAATTTATTCTTTCCCCTGGGAAGTCGGTCTTGTTTGTACTTCTTTTTGCTTTTGCTTTTTTTGTAGTCTGCAAATTGGTGTAGCCATTTGTTCTTTGTGTTGCAGCTCATCAATACTACATCTATCAAATAGCACTTGTCCTGTACAGATCCCTGAGGAATACACTAGTAAGGTTTACTTATTTTGTAAGCACTTCATATACAAATTGTATCGATCACTGAAGGAAGGCATGTTTTTTAATACTTAAAAACAAATCTCCGTAGTTGGGGAGCATTTGTAAAACTTGGATGGTATGGCAAACCAAAAGATTTACAGGATAGGTATTCATGTGCTGAGAACTGGAGGGGCACTTTATCTCAGGACCTCTAAAGGTACCCAGAGCACTTTATCTCAATGACATGGTTGACGCTGCAAGAGTCATAGTGGCAGCAGCACAAAGGGAGTCTTGACGCTGGAGAAAAGGTAAGTAAAACCTTCATTAAGCTCTATTTTTATTACATGTGGGGCAGGGGGAGCCACTAGTCAAAATAGGTACTATAGCATTAGGAATATTGGTTTATATTCCTAGTGTTATATAGTTACTGTAAAGAAACATCTCATTGAAGTGGTCATGGTGAAGTGCCCCTGTCGTCCTAACTCTGCAGGTGAACACAATGTGGTTTCAGAGAAAGTGCAATGTTTGCATTGCATGGTTAAGGCAACCTCTAGTGGCTGCCTTCCAGACAGCCACTAGAGACACTTCCTTGATTCTCAAGGAGTTTAACTCTGTGAAACAACATCATCAGAATCCCCATACGAAAGCATTGATGGGGCAGCTCTAAAGCTTGCCATGCATGTGCACTATGATCATCAATCCATGATGTTGCTGGAGGAGAGCGACCACACACTGATCGACTTTGGCGCTGGAAATAAGGTGAGTGTTAAAAGGGTTTTTAACCCTTTCATGCGCACAGGGGTCTAAAGTATTAGAGATGGGTCATACTATAGCATTAGGAATACAGTTTTTTTTACTCCTAACGCTATAGTATTCCTTTAAGTACACCTGTAAATCAGTATATAAAGTGTACAGAGCTTGTTCAACGCATTAGTTGTTAGACCAAATGTTAGAATGGGGTCAATTTGACCATGGTATGATTTTTTTGGAGTGAGATGTGTTAGTGTCAAAAACCTTCTGTAACTACCATAGTCTCTAGAAACATGTCTACATGTGTAGTATCACACATAGCACGCCATAATAATCTCACCCTCCCTCTTACCCACCTACCTTCCCAGAGTTCTGATCGCCGTCTGGGGGTCTGCTTGGCAACCCTGGCAGTTCCCCTGCAGCCAATCGCGGCTATGTGAAACATGTGATTGCTGTGACAGCCTGTCACTGTGATCATTGTTACAATGTCTCAGCCTATGATTTGTAACATTGGCTGAGATTTTGTGTCTGCCCCTTCTTCTTCTTCTTCACTTTGATCTGAGGTGAGAGAGGCAGAGAGATCATTGCTAAACTGTGCTTAAAGTGTTCAAAAGTGTTATATAAAAATTCTAAATTGGTTTTATTTATTATTAACCATGTGATCAGTCGTATTGTAATCATTAGTACTAATGATTTTTTTTTTTAATTTATGTAATTTTGTACCCTTTTTATCAGCTACAAGTTTTTTTTTGTTTTTACCTCTTCCCTGCGGCCTGATTACTCTACTGTACATTATCTGTGCTGTACGGTACTGTATCAGTGATCCGTGTGATCCAAGGACTCTCTGACTAAGCAGGCATTTCTATGAAATGAAAAATAACCCTTTGTGTGCTGGTCACAGCTGTTGGTTCTGCGATCAAATATTTTATTTTAATGTTTGCGTTTTCTGTCGGTGGAAGTAGGATATGGGGGTGGGTGAGGTAGTGGATATTTGGCAGGTAGGCAAATAAATTAATCCCCCTAAGATGGAACGCTATTATATGGTAGAGGAGGCGTACACTATTCTGGCATGTTCAGATAGTGACACTCTCGCAGACAGTAACACTGAATGCCTCCAACATTGAGATTTGGCGAGTCCTGCAGTAATGGTGCCCCACCACCATCTGCAAGAAGGTGCTTAGGATGTCTCGCAGTGCCAGAGGAAAGCTGGTTACCCCCAAACTTTACTGCCCAAGAAATTCCCCTTTAACGGCTATACCTGGCATCACAACAGATGTTTGTGAGCCAGAGAACTATTTAAGGCTCTTTATGTCAGACAGAATATTTGAGCTGATGGTTGAACCAATTTGTATGCCAGCCAGTATCTGTCTGCAAGTCCAGGATCACACTACAGTAGAAAAATTATGTTGCAGAAATGAAAACATTGCGGGCACTAAACTTAGTAATGGATATTGTGGAAAAGCCAAGTATCAGGTCCTATTGGCACAAACACGTAATCCCAGTTACACCTCTTTTCGCAGGGGTTATGAAGAGAGATCATTACAAGCAAATGCTGTGATTTCTCCATTATAACAATAACTTACTGTGTCCCCCTAGAAACTACCCATTGTTTCACAGGCTCTACAAAATGTTGCCCCTTATCTAACTCCTCTCTGACAAATTTTCCTAAAATTATATCCCAGACTAAAACATTTGTATTGACAAATTTAAAGATAGACTGCTTTTGAAACAGTTTATCCCATAAAGGCAGTCACCATATGGCATCAAATTTTATAATTTATGTGAATCCACTACTGGCTATACATGGGCATTTTGGATTCATCAATGGATGGATAGCCATCTTGGCCCACCAGAATGCCCTGCTTCTGTGGCACAAATGGCAAGATAGTTTGGGGGTCTTATCTTTTCCTTGTTAGATAGGGGTTATTATCTATGCTCTGGAAGGGAAAGGGGTAAAAACTTACCTTTTTCCAGCGCTGGGCGGGGAGCTCTCTGCCTCCTCTCCTCCTCCGATCCGCCCCGTCGGCTGAATGCGCACGCGCTGCAAGAGCCGTGCGCACATTCAGCCGGTCGCATAGGAAAGCATTCATAATGCTTTCCTATGGACGCTTGCGTGCTCTCACTGTGATTTTTACAGTGAGAATCACGCAAGCGCCTCTAGCGGCTGTCAATGAGACAGCCACTAGAGGATTTGTAGGAAGGCTTAACCCATTGATAAACATAGCAGTTTCTCTGAAACTGCTATGTTTATAAAAAAAAAATGGGTTAACCCTAGAAGGACCTGGTACCCAGACCACTTCATTAAGCTGAAGTGGTCTGGGTGCCTAGAGTGGTCCTTTAAGTCATGAAGACATATAAGATAGACTTGAAACTTTGTATAAAACAAACAGCTGAGCTGAAAACAAGGCAACAATGTATAGCAAAGGAAAGTATCAAATGAACAATGGAACCATTCATAAATTGCAACAAAATAAGTTCAATAAAGAGAAAAGAAATGTTGTAACAAGTCCCAGCAAACAGATTCTTTATGCAGGTAGTCTATGAGAATAGCATGCAGACGAGACTACTAGCATCCAAGCCTCCTATTTAGGTGGATCCTTGGTTTGTTGGTCTTGTCTTGGAGTACGGCTATAGTCTGTAAAAAACAAAACAGAGAACAGTTATCAATAGGCTGAATAAGCACCAGATAACCTTATGTTTTAGAAAAACAAACTACCACCAGCAGGCAAAACCCTTAACTTAAAGGAGGGTGGGACGGGCGCTATTGCTAGGTGGTTATGCTCATCCCTAAGACAAAGAAAGTTTGCAGATCATAGATTCCTGCAAACTCTGATTTGTCCTCCGGGAGGCATAACCACCTAGCAAAGCTTGTGGGTAGAATAGCACACACCTGGTGGTGGTCCTAAGAAACTGAAGGCGTTCAACTTCTGACAACCATCTAGCAGCTTTCAAGATAGTAGGGAGAGGAAGGCCCTTTTCTGCTGCTTTAGTAGCCGAGGCTCCCCTAATTGAATGGCTTTTGAACACGGAAACATCAATACCTGCCGAAGACATGGCGGGAAAGTATCCAGCCTCTAATTCTATTAACCTTGCCTGGACGAAAGGGATTCCTTGATGTAATGAATAATTGACTGATATTTCTAAATACAGCAGAAAGCTGAAGGTATTATTGTAACAAACTGACTAAGCCTGGTTCGGAAGGATCTTGAAATCCAAATCCAATTCTACCGGACCAGGAGAAAAATTGGATGCTTTTTGTCTGCCTTTTAGTATAATATGGGAACCTCCCGGGGTCCTGGACATCCAAGGATCTGAAATAGGGATTTGAGATAACTCTGCTCCTCTAGCTGCCAGGACCAAGGACAGCAGAGAAGCCAATTTAATAGCAGTGCATCTTAAATCAATTTTAGCATTATCCAAAGAATTAAGGAAATTTAATCAGATGTCTACATCCCAAGTAGATGTGTAGCGTGGGGTATATGGACGGCAGACGGATAACCCTTTTAGTAATCTCAAATACAGGGCATCCTGAGTAAGGTTGGGGATCAGGAAGTTTAAAGCAGATCCATAGGTCTTGATTGAACTGGCAGATAAACCAGAATAGAACTTAAGGGTAAGAAATTCTAAAGTCAATGGAACGGTATCAGATCCCTGTGTGTTAGACAGAAAAGAAACATCCCATTCTTTGAATTCCTCGATCATCTTTCTATATCTTACCCTAGTTCTACGTCTTAAAGATGAGTTAATAATATCCAAGACCTGATCCGATAAAAGGGGATGTGTTAACAGCCTACCAGGGCTGCGATCCACATCAGCTGCGGGAGCTTGAGCAGAAGATCGCTGGTTCCCTGAAAGCAGTCCACTGTCATGCACAATGGGATCTTGGTTCCATTGACTAACTGATGGATCAACGGATACCAGGGTCTCGAGGTCCATACTGGATAAACAAGAACTAAGCTCTGTACCCTGTCCCTGCGGATCTTCTCCAGCACTTTCATCAGTAAAGATGGAGGGGGGAAAGCATAAGGGGCTGGAACATCTATCCATTGGAAAGACATTGCATCCATTTTCCAAGCTCCCTTTGTCCAGGTCCGGGAGACGAACCTTGGAATTTGTGCAGATGTTTGGGATGCAAACAGATCTACCTGTCTCTGGTCAAAATTGCTTTCTATCCATTGGAATAGAGCAATCTTTAATTGAATCGTTGCCAGGGACAAACTTTGGCGAGAGAGAGAGTCTGCAAGCTCGTTCGCCTCTCCCGGAACGTATTCTGCAAAAACCTGAACATTGCTTGCTAAAGCCCAAGACCAAAGATCTAGAGCCTCTAAACCAGTGGTAGTCAACCTTTTTTTTACCTACTGCCCACTAATGCATCTTTCTTGATGGAAATATTTCCTTACCGCCCACCAGTTTTCGCACAAGTGCAGAATATTTTTTAGAAAGGAGGGTGTTTTTAAAAAAAATAAATGTACGTACATTTATCTTTTTATTTCTACTTAATGCATGTTTATAATATTTTTAACTTTATAAAGTTTAATGAGAAAACAATAAAGTAAACTGAAATTACCTTTACTAGTGATTAATGAGATCCTTGAGGTTGATGCTGCGAGACTAAATGTTTGATATCTGGTTCGATTTTCGTAAGGAACAAACAAAGGTCTCCTCTTTCGGTGATATTCAGACTTCTTCTCTGTTTGCGCATAATATGATTTCTTATCTGTGCATCAGCTCATCTCCTCCCCACCTTTTTTTTCCCCTTTTTTCTATTTTTTTTTTTTTTTTTTTATAATTCTTTATTTTTGTTGTGCTTAAGCTTATAACAATCGCTCTAAAGGTACCCCAAAGGCAATCCTCCAGCGCATTAAAACAATCAAACATAGAGGTACATAATAAAACAAGCACATTTTTTAAAGTTATACACAATCTAGTTTTACGTTACTTAGGTAGTGTTAGGATATGACAGAACTTTGTTAGAAAGTTGACAATCAGATTTAATAACTTGCTAATGTTTCTTCAGGCTTAGACATTTCTATAGTAAGTTAAAAGTTAAACTGGCTTAAACTTGCGTTGTTTTAGTTTCGCTATAATAAGTAATATAATAAGTGTTTCAGTCGTTCTCACTAACATCGCAGCAGGTTATATCTCAGTAGGACAAACAGAGAGCGCGTTTACTCTACGCTGTTCTTTATAAGCACTATGTTAGGTTACACATATACACGTAGTAGTATTTTAGGCATTCTCGCTAACATTGTAGCAGGTGATCTCTCAGTAAAACAGATAAAGATCCCCTTTACTCTGAGCTGTACTTTATAAACACTGTGCTTTGTTACATATAAATCGCTTGCTTAGCTCCGACAGGTGAGAGGCTTGCGTTGCCCTATCCAGTAACTGCACATCTAAACAATAAAAAGCAGCAGGAGGAGAGAGTGTGCAATAAAAGGCTGCCCAAAAATATACAGGACTTGGTAGTGAGACCGAAAAATAATAGTGAAAAAAAGCAAAATAATGTTCCGAGGCACAATTTACTGGCACATATATAGCATAGTTCCAGGTGAGTGTTGAGGCTCTCTGCCGATGGCGTCTGTGAGCTTGCCTCATTGCCTGGTGTGTCGGTGGTCAGACGATTCCTATACTGGGCAGGGAAGTGCTTGGCGTCTGAAGTGTCTGTACGGCTTCTGCAAGTCCGGCTCCCCCAGCGGCTCGGTGTGGCATGTCTGTTGCCCTTGCCGCAGCGTGCTGCTCGGTTTCAGCCCTGGGTCGCCGCATGGGAGCGTGTTGCTCTGTGGTGTTGTGTTTTGGCGTGGTGCCGGGGCCTTGGGGGTACCCGTCCCTCACCTTATCCCGTTTGTGGAGGTGGGTGTGTATGCCCGGGTCGGAGAGGTTCGCTTCTCGCCCTGTCGTGGGTCGATGCCTGTGTGGCCGGACTGCCTCCCTGAAGGTCCGCAGTGGGTCTCCATATCGGCGTCGGCGGGTCTCCGGACGAATCCACAAGGCTACCACCCGTGCTGCATGAGGGTAGGGCACTCCCCTGTCGCACAGTATCCTGCAGAAAGCCGAGCAGAGCCGGTCTAGGGCTATCAGAGGATGAGGGTGCTCCTGGGTGATTTTGCTTGTTTTCTTTAGTTGTCGGTGGGCGGCCATTTTGGGCACACTCTGTCTGGCTCGTGCCTTTGCCGCTGTCAAGGTTGTCTCCCTTGCTTTCTGCGTTAGCCTGCTTGTCTTGTGGGGACCGGGATATCCCCCACCGGTCCGGGGGGGGGGTAGGAGTTCAGTTGTGCTTTCTAGTGTATCTGGAGTCGAAGAGAGCGGCCGCCTCTCCCCTGCTCCAACTCCTGCAGGCCTCAATTTGCATTGCGGTCTATGTGCCCCTACAGGATCCAAAAGGGTATCCCCCGATTCTTTGGAGCTCCCCCAACGTGGGTAGAGCACCCTGGTAGGTCTTTGGGCTACACAGCTGATGCCTTGTTTGCCTCGCGGCTAATATGCCCCTGGACTGTCCCCTAGCACTCGCTGGTCCACTTGTCTCCTTACCTTCTTACTAGCAGGCAGAAGCTCCTGGTATATAGTCTGGGACAGAGAAAGGCTGTATGTAGTGAGTGTAGAAGAAAGGGAACATGCCACAGTGTTAGAGGACCAAAGTCAGCATTACCTTAAAGGATCACTATAGGGTCAGGAACACAAACATGAATTCATGACCCTATAGTGTTAACACCACCATCTAGCCCCCGTGGGCCCCTCATGCCTCCATAAATATTGCAAAATCTTACTGTATTCAAGCCAGAAGCTGTAACTCTGCATGCTGTTAGATTCAGAAAAACAAGCAGTCTGCTGACATCATTAGAAGTGGTGGCCTAATCCAATCACAGTGCTTCCCCATAGGATTGGCTGAGACTGACAAGGAGGCAGATCAGGGCAGAGCCAGCATGATTCAAACACAGCCCTGGCCAATCAGCATCTCCTCATAGAGATGAATTGAAACAATGAATCTCAATGAGGAAAGTTCAGTGTCTGCATGCAGAGGGAGGAGACACTGAATGTTTGGATGCATTTTATGCAGCCATGACCCAGGAAGGATCTCTAACAGTCATCTAAGGAGTGGCCAGTGAAGTTATCACTAGGCTGTAATGTAAACACTGCATTTTCTCTGAAAAGACAGTGTTTACCGCAAAAAGCCTGAAGGTAATGATTCTACTCACCAGAACAAATTCAATAAGCTGTAGTTGTTCTGGTGACTCTAGTGTCCCTTTAACTATATTCATTGTCAGACAGTCCACACAAGTTTTGTTCCCATACATCCCTCTTAAGTTTCCATACTTAAGTAAGAGTATGTGAAAAGTAGTTAGGGTTGCCACCTTTCTTGTAAAAACATACCGGCCTTGCTAATTTGCATAATTAAATATGTATGGGTGACATCACATGATGTAAATCACAAGGAGTGTCATAAGAGAAAATGCTGTAAAATCACCAAAAAACTACTTAGTTTGATTCTGCTGTATAGATGGACTCCTCCCAGTGGCCCCATGTCTCCCAGTGCCCCCATATGTCGATTACTCCAGGTCTCAGTGTTCCTAGGTATCAGTGTCTCAGTGCCCCATGTCTCCCAGTGTCCCCTAGTGTCGTGTCCCCTAGTGTCGTGTCCCCAGGTCCCCCAGTGATCCTATGTATCACAGTGTCTCAATGCCCCATGTCTCCCTGTGTCCCCATGTATCCCAGGGTCCCCATGTAACTAGGAAGACGGGAAGACCTGGGGACACGAGGAGACCTAGGGACACGGAGACACCAGTGACACTGGGAGAGTAGGGGACTCTGGCTGGGACACATGGGGACACTTGAAGACATGGGGACACAGACACCATGGACACAGACACTAGAGACACTGGCTGGGGGACATGGGGGCATTGGGAGACATGGGGACAAGGAGACACCAGGGCCACAGACACTAGGGACACTAGCTTGGAGATATGGGGACATTGAGACACTTGAGGCACTGGAAGACATGGAGGCAATAGGAAACATGGGGACAGTGAGACACTGGCAGACTGGGGGCACTGAGACACCAGGGACACTGGCTGGGAGACATGGGGACACTGTGTCCACATGTGTCTGTGTCATAATGTCTCCCAATGTCCCTTAGTGTCTCAGTGTCTGCCATAATGTCTCCCAGTGTCCCTTAGTGTCTCAGTGTCCCCATGTCTCCTTGCAGCCTTTTCCCCCATCCCTTACTTCCCTGAGCTGTAGGCTGTCTCTGCAGGGTGGGAGTTGCTGTCTGGACTTTCTGTAGCTGCACCCCTGCAGATCAGTGAGTATAGATAGGCAGGGAGGGATATGCTGGAACTTCCTATCCCTGCCTGTCTCCACACACAGCGACCCCTACTGGCCAGTGCTGGTATTGCACAGTAATCTCTTGTTTATACTGAGAAAAATACCAGCATTTGTATTGCCAGTATCACTGCAATATTGGCACCAGCCAAGCAGCCTCAAATACTGGCTGTGCCAATAAAATAAAAGCCAGGTGGAATCCCTAAGAGTAGTGTGTGGAAAAAATAAAAATGTAAAAAAAAATTTTTTTTTTTTTTTTTTTTTATAAATCAATGGGCCTATTCCATGGGCCTGGGCCTGGAGCTGCAGCTCCATCAGCCCCTATGTTAATCCGGCCCTGTTCCTTATAGCAATGCCCAGTAGGAAGGCTGAGCTAGGTAGCCCACTTACTATAGCCCACTATAACAGACAGGCACACATACATACATACAGACACACGTACAAGACACACGTACAAAGACACATACAGACACACAGACAGGCACACATACACACACACATACAAACAGACAGGCACACATACATACAGACACACATACACGCACACATACAGACACATACACACAAGACACATACATACAAACAGACACACACATACAAAGACACACACGTAAGACATACATAGACACATACACACATACAGACAGACACAAGACACACATACATACAAAGATATACACACACAACACATACATACAAAGACAAGATACACATACATACACACATATATACAGACAGACATACATACAAAGACACATACACACACAAGACATACAAAGACACACACACAAGACATACATACAAAGACACATACACACAAGCAAACACACACAAAATATTTTAGTCACCCTCCTGTTTCCTACCTTTTAGGTGCCGGAGGGTGATATTCCCAGTGGTCCAGTGGTGGCTCAGGTGGATGGGAGTCAGAGTTCCCACTCTGACTCCCTCTGCTTCCTCCCGCGTGGTCTGTGTGTTAGCTGGGAGGAGTGACGTGCAGTCACTTCCTCCCAGCTCTATGATGGGCCACCCGATGGACCCCTTGGACGGCGACCCCAGGCCGCAAGTGGTGATGGCGGTACCCGGTCGCAGGGGTACCGCCGGCTCGTGCCCGCCCAGTCTCTCAAAACGAGGAAATCCCTACCGCCCACCTGGAATCCTGAAACGCCCACTAGTGGGCGGTAGGGACCAGGTTGACGACCCATGCTCTAAACAAAGACCCCTTAATCTTGTGCCCCCTCTGTGGTTTATGTAAGCCTGTTGTCCGATTGTACTTTTACCGACGTCGGTGACTGGTTTAGAGGAACTAGGCCCTGGAGAGCTAATTTTATAGCTCTTAACTCCAAGATGTTTATATGGAGGTGACTCTCTTGGTCTGACCAAATTCCTCTTATGGCGTTCCGGGCTGTAAAGGCACCACAACCGTGACTTGAGGCATCTGATGTCAGAGTGACTGCCACAGGCTGCTCTAACAGGGGACGAGGAAGTGGAATTTCTGTCTCCAGAATGGACTTCATCTCTTCTCTGACCTTCTTGGGGAGAACGAATTTTGATTCCCAATGGCCACCCTGTCTTAGTCGATTCCCTAAAAACAACTGACTTCTTCTGCAAAGTAAGGGGGAATTGTCGTATGCTGGTGTAAAAGCTATTAATTTCCCGATAATCTTTGCTAGGTCTCTCAAGGACCAACTCTGGTGCCTGAGGGACGAGGTCAGATGTACCAGTAATTTGTCCCATTTGTCTTGAGGGATTCCTAGAGACATAATCCTGGTGTTCAGTATGAAACCCAGAAAGAGGATGCTTTGAGTGGGAATTAAGACTGATTTCTGCAAATTTGCTACAAATCCTAGGTCTTGTATAAGGGAAGCAAGGTAATCCCTTTGAGAAGCAAGGACTTCCCCATCTGGGTGCATGAGCAGGATGTCATCTAGATAGTACAGACACATGAAACCTTTTAGTCTGATATGAGCTATCACTGATTTCATAATTCTGGAGAATGTGTATGGTGCGTTAGATAGGCCAAACACCATAACGGTCCACTGCCACACTTTTCCTTTCCACTGAAACCTGAGAAAACACCTGTGTTTCTTGGCTATGAGGACTGAATGGAATGCATCTTTTAGGTCTAACTTTATGCAGAAAAAAGCTTTCTGTACTAAACCTGGAAGATCTGATAAACCCTCCATCCTGAACCTTTTCCTTTTGATGAAAGCGTTCAAAGACATTTAGGACCGGTCTCCAGGAACTGTCTGATTTTGGGATTGGGAACAGTGGACTGACCCATCCTGTAATAGACATGTCTGTCAACTCTATCTTCCCTTGACTTAAAGCTAAGGAAAGGGAGGCACTGAGTTTACCTCTCTGTTGGGTGCTAATTTCTGAACTGGGAACCTTAAAAGTTGTAAACCCCTTTGAAAAATCTTTAGAACCCATTTGTCTGAGGAAATATCCTTCCAATTTAGTGGCATATGAGGAGGCACACTTACTTGAATGCATGGGTTTTCTTTTGGAAGCTGAACCGCCTCTGGAATGCGCTCCTCTGCCACCGCCCGGGAGCTTGTGTCTTCCACTGAAGTGGCGGTACTGGGCCTGGTGAGAGGCTTCTCGGGATGCTCCTGCAGCCCTATAGGGGTGACCCACTGTCCGAAAGGGCTTTTTGTAGCCAGGGACGGACTTCTTGAGTTCTGAAAAGGATCTCCTTGCCTTGTAACGGCCTTTAACCTCCTGAATGGACGAGGGACCGAATAGTTAAGAATCCTCCAAATTTGGGAACTCATGCGATTTGGGGGCTAGGTCGGACAGACCTGCTGCATGGAGCCAGCGGGATCTGCGGATGTTTGATATGTAATTAAAGGATTGGCCAATAATTAGCACTGCCCTGCCAGACGCTTTTAAAAGAGCCATCTTAGACGCCAACAGAGATGAAGCAGAAGGTTTCTGAGCATTGCCTTATTTTTCTGCCTTATCCAGCATCAGTAATAGTGGGCCCACAGCATCAGCAATTTTGAACTGTATATTGCGAAAAGTCTGGTCTGTGGGATCAGAGGATACACTGCTCCCTGTGATAGATAACAGAGCAGGATCTACCTCTGGAGCCATTAAAGCCTGAATGTCCAGGATACCAATGTGGTTCCTAAGGAGAAGGTCATCCTCCTTAACCAAGGGGGATTGGAAGGCTAGTTTAGCAAAATCTCTAACCTCAGAATCGTGCTCCATAGCCCATCTGGAGTGAAATAATTTTGATGGGAGAGTATTTCCTAGGAGACTTACTCTGGCCATCTGAACATTGCTTAGCTTCCCTCGCTCAGTGGAAGCTGCTGAACGAACCACTTCCTCGGATTCCCAGTCTATTTCTGGAGAGCCGTATCTGGAACTGGAACGGCTTTGGGAGGAAGAGTGAGCTTAATGCTCTAGAAGATGGAGAGGGACTATCTAACCTCCAACGAGATTTGTCCTTTTTCTCTGGAAGGTGTTTCTGATGCTCAAACGTGGGTCCTGTCCCCTTAATTTTACGCTTACTCAAACGAGTATGAGGGGAAGGAGGAGCATAGAAGTTTTCATCAGACGAGGAACTGGCGGAAGAGACCAGCCGCCTTCCTTTATTCTTTTTGCTTAAAACTGGGACGAAATCCTCAGAAGATAAAGAGGATAGATCCCTGGCAAAGAAAGCTCTCTTATGGAGCTTTCTAACATTGATGGGGCTGCCTTTAAGAGAGGCATCCACTAAATCAGTGGCAGACACAAAAATAGAGTCCTCCATCAATGATGCCATTTTAAAAATCTGAGGCAATCAGGATTCCCGCGCTCAGCACGGCTCTCCTGATTACCGGATTGGCTGAAATGCTGTTGCTGTGCAGATGCACAGCGCGAGCATTTTCAGCTCTGGCATTTGACTCCGGTGGTTATGCCTCCCATAGGACAAAGAAGTTATATCATGTTCCGACTGTATTTTCTTACCTAGTTTTGTGCCATCTGAAAAAGCTGACAAAGGACTTTCAATGCCCACTTCAAAATTATTTATAAAGAGATTAAAGATAGGTGGACCTAGGACAGAACCCTTAGCCACTCCACTTACCACTTTGGTCCAATTAGAAAATTTCCCATTTACAACTACTCTCTGTACTCTACCTTTAAGCCATTGTCTATCCAAGAAAAAAAAATTTCATCTAAACCAACTGATAGTTATACTAGTAATTGTTTGTGTGGACCGGTTTTAAATCCCTTGGCAAAATCAATGTAGATTACATCTACTGGATAACCCTGGTCTGCTCTCTTCTTTTCCACTGCACTTTGTACTTCCCTTAATGCTCTCCTTCTTTCCAAATAATCTGGTCTCTTTTTGCTCTTTCATCTTTTATTCTAATACCCCGTAATCTACTTTTCATTGCTCTCTCAACAATTTTTCCATAATTTGTGCCATTGCACTGTTTACTGCTCATTGTTCTTGCTCATTCTTGCTTTTTCAGTTTAATTTAACTTTCCCCCTTTCAATACTCCCTCTCTTCATCATTCTTTATCAGTGTTATAACTCTTTTATTGTACCACACTTCTAATTTCATCTTACTTCCTCCCATTGCTCCCCTTCCTGCTATCCCATTTTCCATCTAATCCATTGCTATGTCCTGATATCCAGTGTCCCCTATCTTTGCTTCTTCTCTGTCATATTTCTAGTTTTCCACTGCATTGTTCCCTCAGCTATTCCAGTGATTGCTCTATCTCCATAGCATTGTTCCCTCAGCTATCCCATTGCTTGTTTTACCCCCATCTGATTACTTCACTAGCTGTTTCAGTGATTGTTCTAACTACCTTCTATTTTATCTCCGTTCTATTGATACCCCTCCACAAACCTGTGTGCTTCCCCTTCATCGTTTTGTATTCCCCACTATTTTTCTCTTCTTCTTTTCATTAATACTTTTCCCTTTAATTGCTTTTTGTTTGTCTGTTTTTTGTTTTTGTGGGGATGGGTGGAAAGGGAGGAATCATTGGGGGGTTAAAAAAATTAATACTTTTTTTTTGTGTTTAAATTCACTTTCCCTAGTGTGCGCTTGTGCTGCTTTGCACTTCCCACTATGCATTCAGTCATGGTGAGAGGAGGGTGTCATGTCATTTTACTTCCTCTTCCTACTGCTCAGAGTCTTGAGAAGTGAAGATACAAATAGGCATCAGTGCTGCAGAGCATCTAATTCTTAGAGCCCAGTCATAGCTGGTCTTTTTGCTTACATCATTGTCACTTAACTAATAAAACAAAAACAAAAAATTTCAGCAGTGAAAAAGTGCAAAAATATATGTAAACATTTGGGAGAACAAGACTAGTAGACTGCTAAAATAAAGCAAAGCTAATAAAGAAACAAGTTCATACAGCAACCAACAACTCTAAGTTATACACCAAGAGACAGACTAGTAATATATACTGCAACTCGTCCAGCAGATTAGCTTTTTAGAAAAAGCAACAATTGCGCCCTTCTGGGGTATTTAATGTATACCTCGAGTCTGATGGTTTTGGAGAATGATCCTAATATAATTTCTATAGTGCTGACTAAGATATCAAAAGGGCAATTCCCTTGTCAGCCCAAAAATAATAAAGAATACTATGCCATGTTCCAATCCCCAAGCGAGACAATAGGCAGTTAAGAAATCAAGGCACTTTTATTAAAGAAAATACATTACTAAACTCCCTCCAGCACTGGTTACTGTCAGCGGTAAAGTATATAAATCAGCAATTAAATCCAGTTGTTCCAATTATCTTCTTAAAAATTCCATTGTAAGTTAGCAATATAATAGTAACTAGGTAGGAAATCCTCTTCAGTTCTGTATCTCTTGCACTGCAGCAGTAGTGTTGTCATCTACCAAATAAAGTCTAAAAGAAAGCAAGTGTCTTGTCTTGGTGAGTATGCTGACACTTCTTGAAAAGGGAAAAGAGAGAAACTAAGCAAAAACAGAGAAACCAAGGGGTTAATATGTGTCAGTCCCAAAGGTTCCCTGTAGTTGCAGTGCAACCCAAAAGAAAATAATTAAAAACTAACTTTTAATAAATTCCTTCTAAAAATTCAAAAAATAGAAAATAACTGATGGTATCACAAAAAATAATAAAAGAAGGGAAAGAGAGGAGAAAGTACTTGCAGAATGACTAGGTAGTACCCAGAGCAAGAGAGAGAAAGGGATTGCCTGATAGTACTTGAAGACATCCAGTAATAGCTATTGTAAAAGGAGGTCTAAAGTATATCTTGCTGAGAAACCTAGTATAATAAGTACTATCTCCTAACTCCCATGACACTCAGGTTTAGAACGCCTGCCTGAATGTAAACAGAGTGAAACCTCAATAGATGGTAAGCAGAGGTACAAATCAAAATATAAGTAAAAAAATAATAAGTAAAGAGAGGGTGGTCTGCTAAGAATGTCCTGTAAAACGCTCTCCCTCTGAAGAGCCTTTTGGCGAAACGCGCGTCGGGTGTAGTCAGTGAGCGGGTGGTTGGCATTTGACCGGGGACTATGCTGCAGCTAGTTTAGATTTTACAGGACATTCTTAGCAGACCACCCTCTCTTTACTTATTATTTTTTTACTTATATTTTGATTTGTACCTCTGCTTACCTTCTATTGAGGTTTCACTCTGTTTACATTCAGGCAGGCGTTCTAAACCTGAGTGTCATGGGAGTTAGGAGATAGTACTTATTATACTAGGTTTCTCAGCAAGATATACTTTAGACCTCCTTTTACAATAGCTATTACTGGATGTCTTCAAGTACTATCAGGCAATCCCTTTCTCTCTCTTGCTCTGGGTACTACCTAGTCATTCTGCAAGTACTTTCTCCTCTCTTTCCCTTCTTTTATTATTTTTTGTGATACCATCAGTTATTTTCTATTTTTTGAATTTTTAGAAGGAATTTATTAAAAGTTAGTTTTTAATTATTTTCTTTTGGGTTGCACTGCAACTACAGGGAACCTTTGGGACTGACACATATTAACCCCTTGGTTTCTCTGTTTTTGCTTAGTTTCTCTCTTTTCCCTTTTCTATAGCCACTAGGGGTTACCCCCCATTTCTCAATAGCAACCCGATATTTGTTGCTTCTGTTCCTATCTCTCATTTCCATTAAATGCTGACACTTCTTGTCTCCTGTCAGAGCTTACCATCACACATTCAACATGCATGCTGTTTAAATTGTGACCTTTTATTAGAGAATATTATAAATTATACTACTAATGTCTTTCTGCAGTGGTTTGGAAGTGATTTTGGAATGTAAAAAAAATTAATTAAATGTGTAAAGATGACACTCTTAAAGACTATAACACTATACCGTTTGGAATACAAACCCATATTCTAATGCTCCTCTTATATTAGTGATTTGCGGTAAAAACTAATTTTAAAATAAAGTTTTTACTTCCAACACAAACTCACTCTGTGCTGCTGGCCTCTCCACCTCATGCAACTTCATCATGGAGGTGTTATATTCCCGACATTCGTCCGATACATGGCTTCTCATATAGAGTATTGGGGATGTGATGCACATGCACAGTGAGCACCTCAAATATCCAGTTAAAATCTTCATAAGAAATAAATGAATTCATTGTTTTTCTATGACAGAGTTTAACTCAGTTGTTACATAGGAAATGCCTCTAATGGCTGTCAGTGTGACAGCCACTTGACATGTTTAACCTTTCAAGGTAAACATTGCCGTTTCTACAAAATGCCAATGTTTTACCTTAAATGGTTAAAACTACAGGACCACTGCACACAGACCACTTAAGATGACGTGGTCTAGGTGACATACTGGTCCTTTAATTCAACAAATGGTATTGTAAATTCAAGGTGTCTGGATATTAAGAATGCACTAAACTACTTTGGTACTCTTCAAACATTAATGCACTGCCTGTTGATGTAGTCTGCTAATACAAACAATGGACACAAATATAGTGGCCATAGGTGCTGCCAGTTGCTATTAACTGTGCTCTCAAAATGTATTTTATTATTCAAAATTCATGAAACATTGAAGGGAACATTTAAAAATATAAACATTGCATTCAATACCGTCCAGGATAGGTATACCACCCTCTAAATTAATCTAAAATAGTCTTGTGCTAGAACCTATCCTAATCAAACCAAAATAGCCAAGTAACCCAGAAACTCATCAATGAAGTTCCGACAAGTGTCCAAATTTGTCCTTAACTCTTTCATTAACAAAATATGATACAGTGTCCCAAGTAATAATGTAAAGGGTGTGTTTGAAGTGGTAACAGTGGTAGAAGTCTGATTGTGCAGTGTTTCTGGAGAAACACTGCACAATCAGACTTATCTACAATCCCAACTAACACCATCATGGATACCAAAAAGCTGATATATGCCACAGCATGTGTATGTCAGATTGTGTGCATGTGATATCCAGGATATTGTATAATTTGCGGCCCCCCAATAATACTCGCTTAACAGGGGGGGCTCGGTTGGGTGCTGCAGCCCTTTAAAAGCTCTATCAGGTCCCTGTAGTATTGCCCAACTGGGAGGAAGTGACAGCTTGGTACTTGCTCCCAGCTTCAAAGACCGCTATGCGGATGGGAGGAAGCTGGAGGCGGCGGTGGCACCACAGGCAGCATGATGGCAGAGGAGAAGCTGGAGTGAGCTGCTGCATGCATGCATCAGCATCAGCCAGCATCACCAGGACCCCAAGCAAGCCACCCTTCTGGACAGAAAGGGTAAGCTGAAAATAAAAAATTATAACATTTATGTGTGTCTCAGTCAGTTTGTTTCTAAATATGTGTGTGTGTGTGTGTGTGTGAATATGTGCCAGTGTGTATCTGTAGGTCAGTGTTTGTAGGTCAGTGTATATGCCCCTGTGTGTATGTGCCAATGTCAGTGTGTGCATTGAAGTGTGTGTGTGTGCACAAGTGTGTGCATCTTCTGATTCAAGGTGTTCATACATGTTTGGTGGCTTTGTGTGTTGTTTGAGAACGCTTTAACCCCTTAAGGTAAGAGTGCACCTTCTAGCACCATTACAACTTCATGACAGGAGTGTCCCAATTAATAAAGTTAATTGATTTCCAGTTGTTTTCTTAGTCCAAAGTCTGAGGAAGATGGGGCTTGTCACCAAATGCCTTTGTATGCAATGATCTTAATTTTCCTTCTTTATGTTAAAAGAGAACGCCTCCAAAGTATATAGTAGTAGTAGTGGTGTTTATATGGCGCCCATATATTCCATAGCGCTTAACAATTATAGAAAGGGATATTTAGAGGCGAAGAAGGCCTTGCTCAAGCAAGCTTAGGTGTCTTGCCCAAGGACACTGATCTGGTTCTAAGGAAGTCATGTTTTCGCTGTGAAATAAAAGAAATCTCTTCTGTTTGTGTTTAAAGCAATATGAAATCCTTTAGGTAATATGCCCCTTTTATTTTTAAGGTATATATTCTAGTTGGCCATTGTTATTATACAAATCTTGACTTTTTCAGCTATATTTCTCTCCTATGTTTGTTTGTTTGTTTGGATGTATGTTGATATCCATAGTTATATACAGGTACTAGTTGTGTTTTGGATAGATCTGGGTTATCTAATTCTGCTGGACACATTTAAATCAGGTACATACTTTATTTCTTATGATTTTTCCCAGGTATATATTTCCTCAATATGTCTTTGGATGGGAATACCATGAGTGTATATCAAATCTATTTTAATTTATATATTTCTATATTACATATACACATATCTATATTTCTGTTTGTGATTTGATATTTCAATGATGATCCATTAAGTATCATTTTGCACTCAGAAGTATGTGGTTCATTCAGCCAATCCCCAATCGGTGTTTATTATGGGATATTAATTTCCATTTCTGGGTGAATCATACTTTGCTATTGCCATACCTAAGAGCACTTTTCCAACTTTTGGGTGGAGACACCCTTCAAGTGCTGTTAAACCAATTTTTAAACCCCTGTTTAAAGTCCTCCTTGTAATCTTTGTTTCAGGTGCATTGTTCACCATTTCTGTAAGTGGGGTTCAGAGAAACCCCAAATTCCGAGCTATATATTTCCTTGTTCAGTGGCATGAAGCTGATCTGGCTGCTGCGAAAGTTGCACCTAAAGCTGAAACTTTGCCTGTGAAAAATGACCAGTTTGTTTCAGAGCTCACAGAATGTTATTAAAATGCTAATTTAAAAGGGGAAAAAAAGTTAAATATCTAGCAGTGGCGCAGTCTAATTGCAAGCATAATGAGCTCTGGAAATGTGAGTGCCCCTGACACACAGAACATAAACAGCCAGTAAACAGATCATTAGTACTCACATTCATTTATTGTGCCGACCTTAACATGACCCCGGAGTGGGGAGGGTGAGAAGCAGGTGGATCTGACTGTGACACCCCTCTAGGGGATGCAGGAAATGAAGCTAGAAGCTGTTACCATAGATACACGTGTGCAGATGAGGTAACACGCCAACAGGCTGCAGCCTCCGCTGGCGGCTTCTATCTGTCACCCTCTTAGTGTTTAGGATTAAATTATTCCCAAATAGAGGAATTCAGCCCCTCCACATCCAGACCCCGAGAGGTCAGACTGTGTACAAAGTCACCTTGCAGAGGGTGGCAGAGAGTGAGAGAGCCCTCCTGTCCCTGCCCTGCCGGTGCCACAAAATGGAAAGTGGCACAGTATCCCCTGTAGCAGCAGATCACACAGCAAAGCTAATTAACAAAAAATACAAATTACGACACCCTTCACTTCCACCCATCTGGTAACGAGAAAGCTTAATCAGGAGCTGTGTGCGCGGCAGCACTTCTGTGGAGGGGCAAGAAGACGAGACTTGGATATTTCTCTAATAAATAGAAATTATCCGCATCTCCCTGTCCCCCTCCCCGTGCACTTTACATGAACCTGTGATACGCTAGCAATAGCCCTTCCAGCGCGAGGCTGATGTGATTTAGGAGAATATTAAAGGCAATGTGGAGATTGGAGGCGCCTCTCTCTTAGGGAGAGCTGGAGAAATCCGCAGCACAGATGGGTTGAGCAGATTAAACGTTTCCTTCACATTGTTTCCAAATTGTGCTGCAGTGCCTCAGGGAGCGAGTGCGGTCAGAGCACGGCGCACTTTATAGAGTCAGTATTAATGCTTTCTTTTCATAGGGCCATCTTATTAGCAGCAGGTTAGGGTCAGTCCTGGAAGCGGGCAGAATTCTGCTCATTTTGTTACTCTCCCCCCCATCTCTCCTGTTAAAATCTCTGGTACAGCATTTTTGTGATAACTACGTTGCACCGCTTTCTGCTGAGGTGCGTGATCCTTTATAGGCGTCTTTCACTAAGTAAGTGTGGTCCAATGCTTACAACACTCTACAATACAGTCATGTCCCTGGTCTTAATAGAGTTGCTGACACACAAGGATTAAAACTGAAAAGTGTTGAAGTAACCATTTTTATCCCATTCCACTGGTTTAATTAAATCTTTTTTATAGTTGCAAGGCTACTGCTTGCTACTTACTATTGATCTACAACTCCCATTACCTGCAGTCAGATGAAGGCTACAGATAAGGAGATAAATACCCCAACAACTGCTGGATACTCCAGCTAATAACAGTCACAACCAGTTCATAGAAGCTTGTCTGACCTCACTTCCACTGATTATGGACAAAGCCAGGTATTCTATAAGTATAAAAATTTGTTGACTAGCCCAATTGTATTTTGCTGTTGATTTTATAAACCTTTGGAACTCACTGACATGTTTATTTAGTATTTAAGTAAAGCTGTATCCGTGTTTGGTCATTACTGTTAGGGTTTTCAAACCTCCTCCTTCAAGCATTTTCAAGACAGACTCCATCATTAAACCATGGATCTGACATGACATCAGCTCACCTCACGGCTGTATTGTAGGAAAAGCGCAGAGAGAGATGTATTACTGTCAGCAAATGGCAGGAGGATAGACAGCGGCTGCATATTGTAATTCATTCATTCCTAAACAATAATGTATGACAGGCAGGCACTAATACTGGCAATAAGCAATCATAAACCAATAACTGTGATTGATTAGGCACCCCTGAACATAGATCAACCTCTCATTGATCTGGTGCTACAGACAGATTTACGACTGCCTTGCCTTGGAGCAAGTCTCTTGCATCTGGGTGCATATCAGGCAGTCTGATACCTGAGTGCTCGAATGCTTTTCTTTTTGCAAAAATTTCTAGATCCTAGGGGTTTGTTCTGTTGCCCCAACATTTCCTGCCATCAGTAGATTATGCTGCAGAAATAGAGGGGCAGTTGAGGTGAAAGCTGCATGCTTGGGGAAACGTGAGGACCCACAGATCCTGAGCACAGCACATTTGAGACTGGCTGTGCCAGCACACTCTTCCTTTTAATAGTTTAATAAAAATTAGCATAATTAACAAACATCTGTATAATCCAGAGTGGTGCAATTTGGCAGAGGGAACGGGAGTTTAGATGTTATTGCTGGGAGTTTAATGTTCTTTTAATTCTTTCTGGCACGCTGCAGTGAGAGAGATGTTTGGTGCCGATGGTTGTGTGCCGGATTTAATTAGTACGCATCTCTCTTTTGATTGTGTGTGTTTCTGAGGCCCTGAGTGGTTCATACAGTGGGACTGGTTTTATGACACCTTCCTGTCTTGATGCTGGCATCTGTGAAACAGGCATCAGACAGTGCAGTGTTTTACGTAGGAAGCGGTTTAAATCACCCACTGAGTGGGGCAACTTCTAAAGTAAAATAATGTGCAAATTAATTCTTTTCGAAAGAGGTGTGGAATTTATTTATTTCTTTTGCTGCTGGTGTCTGATTCCAGAGCCTGCATTATTTACTTTAAATATCCTATACAAAGGCCTGACAACTGAAAAGTATTGTTAGAAGACCCACTGACTGCACATATCCAAGGATAAACTATGCCGGCCATCTACTTTAAGGATATGCTGGTGTAAATTAAAGCGTACAACTTTCTATCAGACTGCAATTATACACAAGCTAATCCCAGCATAATGTGCAAGGGGCCCACAACAGCTGCCACACACACCACCATTCCAGAAACTTTTTGCCAGATCATGTACCTCCATGAAGGTTGTGCTGACTAGGTTCTAAAGTGCAATTGAGAGGCTCAATGTAAATGCAGTACCCTGCACACACAGTCTGCCTAGCTGTGTAAATGTCCTGTTCAGGTAGCCTCTTCACTTGATGTGCCTTGCTTGGTTTTGTGACATCAGAGCAGCATGGTAAATTAGAAGAATAGCTCCACTAATATGGCTGAACAGATACCTTAATTCCAGTGCCAAGGTCACTCAGCGCTGGTTCCGTCTCCTAGTGCACATGTGCAGTGAGCTCTGTGCGCGCATTAGGCCTTCCCCCTAGGAGATCATTGAAACAAGGAAAACAAGACTCAATCTTTTTAGCAGATACAGATAACTCCCCTTCTTGGCACGCAAACATGCTTTCAGGTCACACGAGGATGCTTGGACAAAGACTTTATGACACAATGTAAAAAATATTGATAGCAGGGAGTGAGCAGGGAGAGAAGACCACCTGGGGCAAAAAAAATCCTCCACGCCCCAGGAAGTAAACCTGGTATTCAGTATATCTAACAGAATCATTGACTAATATAACTGCAGCTTTTGAGCAAAGGTTTGTCCTATGTACCCACAGTACAGCCAAACTCCCTTCATTGGGAGATTGATTTGTACAAGTTTGGGCACTTCCTGTCCTGCTGATTTTGGAAGCAATACTGATTTAGATAGAAGGAATTCTCGGATTTTGGTAAATATCTAATGAGATAAAATTAAACCGTACAACAGGAATATAGTGAAGTACCTCTGATGCACATGTGTGGAAGAAAAGAAAATATACTTGAGCCCTAAGTTAGCTCTACTACATGTGCCTGGGCAGTACAATCCCCATATGAGGATATATGGTGTATTATTTAATTTGGTGGTGAATGCTCCAGGGTGTATGCAAAATAAACCGAGAACAGGCCCAAATATAGTGTAGTATATATAGTTTATGAAGTAGAATAAATATTTATGTAGAAATGCACTCACCATGTGTGGAGCCCCTAAATGACTCCCAGAAAGCATCATAGAGTGGTACAATCCCCACTTAAGAGTTAGTTAGCTGAGGTTCTCATGATGTTATATGTGGATAAAATATAGTGCTCAATCAGCCTGCTATCAATATTTTTTACATTTGGTTCAACAGGAATCCACCCCAATTCTACACACCAAGTGTGCCAACCACTCCAATATCATTTACAGAGGAAGATTATACAGTCCATGGCCATAGACAGCAATATTGAAGGGGGCATCATCATCCAGACCTAAATTGAGTACAGGGAATATGTTTTAAAGCAACTCAGTGACACTACCTACAGGTAATTACCAAAAGACCTCACAGTATCAGTCATGAACTTCTTCAATGAGATACTACAAAAGGGTTAAAAGCACAGCACATTTCATTTGGGTTGTTCCAGTTCCTCACCACCAGTCACCCACATCTCCTGCAATCTATTGTATTCCATACAAACCTGACAAAAAAAAATGCCAGGGAGACATATGGTCTCAGCCCAAGGGAGGGGTCATTGTACCTGTAGAGTTTTTGTTTAAGGAACCTATTGAACAACTTCCCAATTGCATAAAAGCCACCAGCAGTCTACTATTAAACCTCAAGACCAACAAATTTTCTCACGATGATAAAGTCCTTTTGAGTTCCAAAAGGAATTGATGCCTATATGATCTATATTGATTAACCCAAATGTATATAAGAGCGTTCTGTCAAATTCATTCTCAAAATGTTGAAGTAAACTGTAACACAAAATTGCTTTAAGAAACAAAAACAATTGGCACATAGTTACATAGTTACATAGCTGAAAAGAGACTTGCGTCCATCAAGTTCAACCTACATCACATTTGTTTTTTGCTGTTGATCCAAAAGAAGGCAAAAAAAAACAGTTTGAAGCACAATTTTGCAACAAGCTAGGAAGAAAATTCCTTCTTGACCCCAGAATGGCAGTCAGATTTATCCTTGGATCAAGAAGTTATTACCCTACATTGAAAGATTATATCCTTGAATATTCTGTTCTTGCAAGTATGCATCTAGTAGCCGTTTGAACTTCTGTATGGACTCTGATAAAACCACTTCTTCAGGCAGAGAATTCCACATCCTGTACATCATGCACCAGTTCTAACAGGAACACATATTGGGTCCCGTTGGAGACTCTCACCATTCATACCTTTGGTACGTTGATGAAATTTTCAATATGGAATAATGTGTAAGTCCAAAAAAAATACTTATCCAATACAAATGAACTACAGCTTCCTCTCAGGATATTCCAGACAGTATCCTATTATTACTGGTATTTATATACCGCCAGCATATTCCGTAGCGCTTTACATTATTATCAGAGGGGGAGATTTAACAATAAATGAGACAATTACAAAAACTTACTGGAACAATAGGTAGAAGAGGGCCCTGCTCAAACGAGCTTACAGTCTATAGGAGGTAGGCATAAAACACAACAGGACAGGAGGTAGCAATCAAATAAGGTGGAGTGAAGCAGAGCTGGAGGAGAGAGAAATCTTGATGGTCATAGGCAGGCTATTCCAAAGGAAAGGAGCCATCCGCGAGAAGACCTGCAAGCGTGAGTTGGCTGTATGGGTGCGGAGAGACCGAGAAGGGGCATACCTGCAGATCAGTGAAGAGATATAGGAGGGGTTAGAATTGGTTAGTGCTTTATAGGTGTGGATTAGTACCTTGAATTGACTCCTATAAGATACAGGCAGCCAATGTAAGGACTGACAGGGGGGAGGGGTGTGAGAGGAGTAACAGGAGAGGAAAATCATTCTAGCTGCAGCATTCATTACAGACTGTAGAGACAGGACGAAGGGAGGAGGTATCATTAGAAAAGGAGACAGTGAATGAGCATTGGGAAAATAGCAGGAAAACCAAGAGAGGACAGTGTCACAGAGACAAAGTGATTGAAGAGTTTGGAGAAGGAGAACATGGTCAACAGTGTAAAAGGCAGCAGAGAGGTCAAGAAGAATTAGTATGGAGCAGTGCTCTTTGGATTTAGCTGTCATTAGGTCGTTAGTGACTTTAATCAGAGCAGTCTCAGTAGAGTGGAGGGGCAGAAGCCAGACTGAAGAGGGTCAAGGAGAGATTTGGAATTGAGGAAACCAGTCAGACAGCTAAAGACCAGTCTTTCCAGAAGCTTTGAAAAAAAAAGGATCAGGGATATGGGACCATAGTTAGAAGGGGAGGATGGGTCAAGAGATGTTTTTTAAGATGGGTACTACAGTAGCATGTTTAAGGGCAGCAGGGACAACACCAGAAGAGAGAGAGCAGTTGAAAATGTGTGTTAAGGAAGGCACAAGACAAGAGGAGAGAGCAAGTGGTAGGGCGAGAGGAAAGGAGAAGCGCAGCCACCTCTTGTTCAGTAGCATGGGAAAAAGTCTGAAGGATAGGGAAGGCATGATCCAGGTGTGGTTGAGAAATAGAAGGGCAAGGTGGTGAGAATTCTTTCCTGTTCAATCTTGTCGGTAAAGCAGCATGCAAAGCTATCGGCTGTAAGGTTAGTTTGAGGGATGGCAACAGCAGGGCAAAGAAGGGAGTTATTAAAAAGACGCCTGGAATTGTGGGAGCATGTGCTAATGAGGGAGGAAAAGTATGACTGTTTGGCAAGGGCTGTTCTGTATGAACGCAACATGAATTTGTAGTGGAGGAAGTCTGATTAGGTACGTGACTTCCTCCAGCAGCGTTCAGCTCAACGGGAGCATCTCTGCAGGTAGCGTGTTGATTTAGTGTACCACGGTTGGGGACGTGTTCTCCTCAAGGTTCATTTTTGGAGCGGGGCTGCAGCGTCCAGGGCAGAGGTGAGGGTAGTGTTATATGAGGACATAGCCAATGAGGGATAGGAGAAAGTAGGGATGGATAAAAGTTGGAAATCCATATTGGCTGATAGCTGCTGAAGGTAAATATAATTCAGATTTCTTCTTAGTTGAGGGGAATTAGGTTAAGGATGATGTGGTAGGGGGCTATTGAGAGCAAATGGTAAGAGGTGGTGATCTGAGAAAGGAAATGGAGTGTTGCAGAAATTAGAGATTGTACATTCATGAGAGAAAATAAGATCAAGGGTATTGCCAGCTACATGGGTGGGTTACTTAGCCCACTGCGACAGCCCAAGGGAGGAGGTCATTGAAAGTAGTTTTGAAGCTACTGAGGACAAGGGTATGTTGAAGTCCGCAAGAATTAGGGATGGAATATTAGAGGAGAGGAAGTAGGGAAGCCAAGCAACAAAATGGTCAAGGAAGAGGAGAGGGGAACCAGGGGGATGATAGATAACGGCAATGTTAGCAGAGATAGGTTTGAAAAGGCGAATATAATGAATTTTAAATGGTGAGAAAGAGAGGGAAGAGTGGGTGGGTAGAGGTTTGAAGGAGCAGTGACCAGTGACGTACACATGACCCATGGGGCCCCGGTGCGAAAATTGATCCGTGCCCCCCCACTCCCCCCACACACACTTAAAGGACCACTACAGACACCCAGATCACATCAGCTCAATGAAGTTGTCTGGGTGTCAGGTCCCTCTAGTTTTAACCCTGCAGCTGAAAACATAGCAGTTTCAGAGAAACTGTTATGTTTCACTGAGGGTTAATCCAGCCTCTAGTGGCTGTCTCACTGACAGCCGCTAGAGGAGCACACTGAATGTCCATAGGAAAGCATTGAGTAATGCTTTCCTATGGGCGGTTTCAATGCGTGCGCGGTCGCATTCGGAGCTGAGAGGCTGAGGGGTCCCCAGCGCCAAGGGAGTCCGGCACTGGAGAAAGTGCTGAAGACACACACACTCTCACTTACAGACGCATACACACTAGCTAACAGACACACACATTTACTGACAGAGACACACTCAGCGACAGACATACATACACACTCACTTACAAAACATACACTCTCTTTGACAAACACAAACTCACTAACAGACATCAAACAGACTCACTAACACACACTCAGTAAGACACACACAGTAACACACTCACTGACACTCACTAGCAGACACACACACTAACACTAACACTCACTAGCAGACACACACTCTCACTCTGTAACACTCTAACACTCACTCTAACACTAACACATGTTTGTTTTTGTTTTTTTTAAATTGAATCCCCCCAGCCTCCTTACCTTTTGGAGTGCTGGGGGGATTCCCTGGGGTCCAGTGGTGCTGCTGGGCTCCTGGGCGGGTGGCAGGCGGGCGCGCGAGGGAGCACTCAGTGCTTCCTCTTCAGCTCCCTCGCGCGCCGCGTAGGGATGCCGGCGCCGGAAGATGACGTCATCTTCCGGCTCCGGTATCAGTGCGGTGCGCAAGGGAGCTGGAGGAAGCACTGAGTGCTCCCTCGCGCGCGCGCCTGCCCGACCGACCGCCCTGGGGTGGTCGGCTCCTGGGCCCCCCAGGAGAAGAGGCTGGCCCTGTGGGTACATACCGGGTCGCAGGGGCGGCCGGGCCCCCTGGCAGTGACCCTACACCACCACCTTTGCCTTCAGAGTGTCTTGGGTTGTGAGTAAATTGAAGACCACCAAAGGATAGAGAGGCAGGGGTAGCAGTGTCAGAGGGAAAGAGCTATGTTTCAGTTAAGGCTAGTAAGTGTAGGGAACGAGAGATGAAAAGGTTGTGCACAGCAGTGAATTTACTAACACTGCAAACAGAGCGTGCATTCCAGAGGGCAGAATAGAAGGAGGCTTTAAAGGAAGAGTGACATGAGATGGGTATGAGATTATTGTGATTCCTGGAGTTAACACATGGTGGGTTAGCGGAGGTGGGACTGGGATTTGGACAGACATCGCCAGCTGCTAGAAGCAGAAGGATAAAAAGTAAGAGCAGGTGGGAGTAGGCTTTAAAGGTTTTGTGAGAGGGTTTGTATTTAGAGGTTTTAGAAAGGGTTGGTAGAGATAGGCTGGAATGGTATAAGTAGAGTGCATGGGATGAATAGAGAGGGGAGAAAAGTAAAGTGGGGACAATGAAAATGGAGGGATAACAAAGATTTTGCTAATTAGAGAGGTGAGAGTGAAAGTAAAAATATAAGGGAGAGCATTCTCTAAGGAGAATAAAGGAGTTCATGTTACAAAGAAAGAAAATTAGGATTTTTAGTTGTGCAAAATTAGATGAGGTGGGATCTTAAAGTCCCATGAGAGATGAGAAGGGTCAGGGGTTGCAGGTAGGGAGTGTGATAGTTGAGCAGGTGATGAGGGTTTGAAAGACATAATTAGTGTGTTTGGAAAGTCAGGTAATTTGTGCTATCTATAAATGTAGTGAGTTACTTGGGGAGGGAAGCCATCCAAAAGAGCTACCTCTGTTTAAGGCTGTAGCTTGTCTTGGTAGCTATGAGTCCTGGGAGCTAATGTTCTGTTTTGGACCCACGCTGCAAGAAAGGATCTGGGTTAGATCAAACTGCAAATTAAGGGTGGGGGAGACACAGATATTGAGGTGAAAATGGCAGTTATTATTATTATTGCCATTTATATAGCGCCAACAGATTCCGTAGCGCTTTAGTTAATGAGGAAAAGAAAAAAAATAACAAAGGAGAAAGTATTCGAGATTTAAAGATACAAGGGTAGGGGACCAGCCGTCCTGTGAGCCCCTGCGACCACGGATCCTGCCAGTTGAGTAATGCAGCCCCAGCCCACACGGTATAACCGCCAGGGACGTATTGAAGGGGTCCATCGGGTGGCCCATGCTGTTAGGGCCACGCGATGCTATGTAATTCCAGGAGGCCCGGTCAGCGTTTTAACAGCGTGACCGGGCCCCCTCTGATGATGTCAGAGGCAGAGAGGAAGTGACTGCCCCGGGCACTGCCTCCCAGCAAGCACTGGGAGCCGGGCAGGAGGAAGGAGAGGGAGTCAGAGTGTATGTATGTATGTGTGTGTACCTGTGTGTGTCTCCACATGTGTATCTGTTTGGTTGTGTGGGGGGAGGGGGTAACATATGGGAGGGGGACGATAGACATATGGGTGGGTGGGATGGGGGGTTTGATGTACAGTGGGGGCCCTGGGGCAATTTTTGGTTTCTAGTTACGCCTCTGATTGAATATGCTGTGCAATTTTGGGCACCTGTTCTAAAGAAGGATATTATGGCACTAGAAAAAGTGCAGAGGCGGGCTACAAAATTAATAAAAGGAATGGAACATATCGGCTATGAAGAAAGGTTAACAAATTTAAACCTATTTAGTTTAGAAAAACGCCGCCTGAGAGGGGATATGATAACATTATACAAATATATTCGGGGCCAATACAAACCATTGTGTGGAAATCTATTCACAAACCGGACTTTACATAGGACACGAGGCCATGCGTTTAGACTGGAAGAAAGAAGATTTCGCCTAAGGCAAAGGAAAGGTTTTTTTTACTGTAAGAAAAGGATGTGGAATTCTCTGCCTGAGGAAGTGGTTTTATCAGAGTCCATACAGATGTTCAAACGGCTACTAGATGCATACTTGCAAGAACAGAATATTCAAGGATATAATCTTTCAATGTAGGGTAATAACTGCTTGATCCAAGGATAAATCTGACTTCCATTCTGTGGTCAAGAAGGAATTTTTTTCCTAGTTTGTTGCAAAATTGTGCTTCAAACTGGGTTTTTTTGCCTTCTTTTGGATCAACAGCAAAAAACAAATGTGAGGTAGGCTGAACTTGATGGATGCAAGTCTCTTTTCAGCTATGTAACTATGCAACTATGTAACTTTGGATGATGTCACCACAGTATGGAAAGCCGGACTCAGGATATGTCAGAAAATATAAACTGCTTTATTATGTATATATAAAATAAAATACAAGAAAAACGGTCCTATGCATTTTGTCTTGCAAGAGACTTCTTCAGGGACACAATAATAAAATATAATAATAAAAACAATCCTAAAGCAGCAAAGAAGCAGAACCATGATTTCCACCATCAATTCCAAGATTCTACCAGTAATCGACTACCACAGCACTGAAAGGGTCGATTTCTTTGATGTTTGATGACATTTTACAGGAAACCAACAGATAGAAACACCATATTGCATGCCAATATTTTCAATTAGCACCTTCTTATGGCTTGCCTCCCATATTCAAAATTTCTACAGGAACAACACCAATTCTGTCAACAAGAACCAACAAATAAGAACCATGTGGTACAACTTCAAATAGCATGGATATAAAAATATAGTCCTGCAAGATGCATTGTTGAGGCGCTGAGTGAAGGATTTGACCAAGACTAAAGATAATCATTTTATTTTTTTCCAACACCTGCATCGCTGCAATTGAATAACATAATTACAGAAAAATTGTGGTTTTCGCCAATGATCTTTCAGTCCCTGCTTGCGTCATAGAAAAACCTATGTTGTTACCGCAGAGGCAGAAACGTAAGAGATGTATTATGTATGTATTCGTACATACTGATCTTGTGTAGTGATATAACACATCCAAGCAGTTCTTCCAACCACGGGCATATCCAGTGTGTATGCTGTGCATATTTTTTACCAACCCCACAACTGCAATAAATTATTTCTGAAACACAACAATCCCTGCACTACGGATTTTGTTATATATAAATTAGTGTGTCCCTATATTGAAGTTCATCCAAGAAGGGCTGTGGTAACTGCAAAAAACTTTGGAAAAGACAAATCTCAGTATAGAAGTAAGCTACAGAAGCTTTTTCAAGATGTTTGACATGCAAGTAGGGTGAACATTGAATTTTGTAACAATTTAAATTTAGGTTTGAACATGCTTATTTTATAAAAAAAAAAAAAAAATTGTTTCTCCCCTATACTGTATAAAAAGATAGCCTTTTATTTTAAGGACACATCTTAATATTCCAGTAGTACTGTATGCTTTGTTTTGTTTTTTTGCTTTGTTATAGACTTTTGATAAATGCACAATTTGCGAATAAAGGAAAATGAATTTTTCCTTAGGCTTCCCCTAAGGGACACAGTGAAAATAATTTAACATATACATATTATGATTTTGTCCCCCTTAACATTCTTTCTTTCATTTTTTATTTGTGTATGGTTCTTTACAAGTCCAGTTTGTATACTGCTTTTATGCTTTATTTTGTAGCAGGCACCCCTTTTTTCTCCTAGTGGGTAGCCTTTATTAGCTAGTCACAGGCAGTTTTGCATACTAGTTGCACATCCACAGCACATGATCCATTGTTCTCCTAGACAGCTCAGTTTCCTTACAGCATCAGGTACCATTATCTGGTCTGTCTCATTATTTGCCTATGAGCATGTTTATTTCTGCCTCTGCCATTGTTGCTATTTCCATCATTATGCAAGCCATTGTGATTCCTACCCTGAGAAGGGTACCTTCCCTTTGATGTTGTTATACATTTTTTTTTTTTTATCCAGAAGCATATTTTTCTATTTGCTATTTTTCTTGACCTTCTTCTGTTTTATCCCCACAAGGAGTCACTTGCACACATAATGGAGATCGTAGCACTCTAGAATTACAGCTCATGCTGTCCACCCATGAATCGTACGATTGCCATGATTTGGTTCTTCCGACCTGTCTTTGCTTGGGGTTCATTCTGTTGTGTGCGTGTTTTTTTATTATTATTATTTTAATTTATTTTTTTATTTTAGCTCTCACAATTTGACTTCTGTCTACAATTACATTTCAAGGGTTCCAATACCTCTTATTCCAACCACTCACCTGAAAAAATTAGAAATGTATAGCTAGACCTACGATCAAAAATTGAATTGGCACAAATAATGTGCTCAGGAATGTCATAGTAATTAATGATGATCAAGATCACAAAAATCAATCAAGCCACTGAAAAACAGACACGAAGGAAGCTTTTATATGTGATTTCAGACAGCCCAAATCTCAGTATAGAATTAAGTTACAGAAGCTTCTTCAAGATGTTTGACATGCAAGTAGGGTGAACATTGAATTTTGTAACAATTTAAATTTAGGTTTGAACATGCTTATTTTATAAAAAAAAAAAAAAAAAATTGTTTCTCCCCTATACTGTATAAATAGATAGCCTTTTATTTTAAGGACACATCTTAATATTCCAGTAGTACTGTATGCTTTGTTTTGTTTTTTTGTTTTGTTATAGACTTTTGATAAATGCACAATTTGCGAATAAAGGAAAATGATTTTTTTATGGCATTTAAAAGAATGCTATAAATAGAATATGTAGGTAGTATTAAAACACAGTGTGATCTAAACTGTTTGCACATTAGTTATTTGTAACTTTAACATTATTTTCTAAGCATTCTTTGAGAGTACATCATCTGATTTTTGTAGAGAAATATAGCTGAATGATCCATATTCGATGCATAAGATGGTTTGGAAATAGTATATTTTACAATTATTTTGGGTGCAAGACAATAAATATTTATAACATGATTAAAATGTTGAGGGGACCATTGGCATGTGTGGGTAATTATTTTTTTTATTTTTTTTACTAATATAAAAGCGTCTTTGTCACTATCCGGGATGTCTGCATATTTTGCAAGGAGGCCTAAATGTTGACTGCTCCGCTGGGTGTTCCGTGGCTGCAGGGTGCAGGGGATGTTGAGTCTTGCTTAACTAAATCATTTCCTTTGTGGAGGACGTCGTGATCTTCTCACTGGTTCTCTTCAGCTCCTGGTGTTTCATCTGCCAGTAGCCCACATTAGTGTTGAACTGCAGGATCCTCCATAGACATAGCCTTTATCCCCACCATTTTTTGTCAGGTGTAGGAAATATACCAAGACAAATAAGACCCTTATTTATCACTGTATATCTTTTGACTGCATTGAAATTTTAATGACGTTCCAACACAGTCAATGGGAGTATTTGATAAATATTTGATCTTTATGAAAAACAAATTTTGGAGGGAATGACAGGGGTGCTTTAACTACAATAAAATTATCGCTTAAAGTCATACACTCGAAAAGAATCTACATGCTCAACACTAAACCGGCCTAGCGTGCACCAGATAGGAGAGGCAGCTGATCTCCCAGTCCGGATTTTCCATGTATCTTTCAGCTCCTGGCCCCTCATCTTTTCCTCTTAACATAGTTACATGTTTTATTGCTTACAATTGTGCATCCTTTACTGCTTTTTTTTTTCATTTGTTTTGCCTGGCTTATCATTTTCTTCTCTGAGAACCATTCTGATAATTTTCACAATGTTCTATGACTTTTTCTTTTTACCATAAATTGTGCAGTTACTTAGGCATACTCGCAACACAATATATATCGCTATTTCTGTCACAACGAGATGCAATGTTTATTGCAGTAATGTCATTATAATGCATGACAAAAATAACAAATTAAAAAAATTAATTAAAACTCATAAGCTGAGTAGCCCAAGGGAGTAAAGTGGCAGCCAATTCTGGGTACAAGGTGGAACCAGCACACACCGCAAACACCATACCAAACGGAGTGCAGGGAAACACTTAATGTCCTCTGTTATCTAACTCTGACATCAACCTCTCAAACATTACAACTACTTAACTATAACTGCTTCTAACATAATCTATCCCCCTGCATGCAGTTACACAATTGCATACACTTACTATACTCATAGATTCTAAAAATACAATACATTACAAGCAGAAATATGTACGCGCACACACACACACACATATATGTTGTTTGTTGCTCCTGAAGAAAGCCCAGGACGTGGGCTGAAACGTAGAGATTTTTTGGAATAACCGAATAAAGATGATTTTTTTTAACTACAAGACCGTGAGTGCTAACCTATATTTTAAATATTTTTGTATATTTTGGCTGTGGCTTTTCAGCACCCGGCATTCATTATTATGCTTAACATAGCAGGGTCAATCTGAGTGCAAGGACTGGTCCATTTTTATATATACACACACACTGAACAAAATTATAAACATAACGCTTTTGTTTTTGCCCCCATTTTTCATGGGGTGAACTCAAAGATCTAAGACTTTTTCTATGTACACAAAAGGCCTATTTCTCTCAAATATTGTTCACAAATCTGTCTAAATCTTTGCCGAGATTATCCATCCACCTCACAGATGTGGCATATCAAGATGCTGATTAGACAGCATGATTATAGCACAGGTGTGCCATAGGCTGGCCACAATAAAAGGCCACTCGAAAATGTGCAGTTTCATCACACAGCACAATGCCACAGATGGCACACGTTTTGAGGGAGCCTGCACTTGGTATGCTGACTGCAGGAATGTCCACCAGAGCTGTTGCCCGTGAATTGAATGTTAATTTCTCTGTTAGAATGTAAGTACATTTCTTTCTCTACAACACCTACTTTTTAAAATTTTTATTTTATTCTTTATTTTGTTTGTGCAGAGGATAAACATGTGGATTTGCACTGCCACAAAAGCTGGTGCAACTAGGTTTGTATTCACACTTAATCACATTAAAGAGAGACATTGCATTTTTTTTTTTTTTTTAAAGTACCGGTAGTTAAATAAGCAGGGTTGTATCCTAAGCTTATAAAAACAAAGGAAAACATTAGTTTGGCTCACAGATATGTTTCACCTAGTAGTCACAGTGAGAATAACGGTCAGGCTAGGACATTGCATTACAGAACTGAGCTAAACACTCCTATCCTAGTATCTGATTGCACAGGGTTATGCATTTAATATAGTAGGTCTGGTTCATGCTGTGATTTTTAATTGTGCTACGCTGGGTAAAAGACAAATAAACAAGAGGAGCTGACTTAATCACGAATAAACAAAAACTACACTAAATACAGGAGTCCACTACTTGGTGAGCGAGACATGCAAGTGCCTCCTTGAGTTTCGTGCCCTTTTCATTCGATTCCCGATTTACAAGGAGCTTGCTGGGTTGTTGGGTGTATATTCTCCGTGGAGAGGTATGTATTGGGTGAGTGTCCAGCGGTTCTTCCGTGTAGCAGGTGGCACTTTGTGGAGGTAGGCGATTCAAAGTCCTTAGTCTTTGCACTCTGGCTAGGTCCCAGTTGGCTGCAGGTTTTGCCTTCAGGGTGTTGGGCCTTGGGTGCTTAGTTGTACCTTGTTTCCTGGGCATACGCCTTGCAGGTAGAGGGGTTCTCCGGTGATTCAGCTGTCATTGCGTCATGGAGGGCAAGGTGGTCTGAAGTGTGCGTGTAGCTGATATCGGTGCCTCCAAGGTGTGTACATGCTGTTGCCTAGCTTCTAGTTTCGCCCAGTATTTAGCAAATATGCCATCCAGCTTGCTCAGGGTCGGGGTATATAAGGTCTTGGCTGTGGGCGCTGCCATTTTGGGAGATGCATGGCGTTTCTGCGTGCAGTAGCTTTTGCCGCTATGGAGAAGCGTTGTGTGGTCTCCTGGAACCGGGATGACCCCTCCGGTCCAGAGGGGGGAGCGGGAGAGTGCTGCTATGAGGTGCAAGATGCGGCGTCTGGAGAGCGGACGTCCCTCCGACGCCAGCCAGGCTAGTGGGCCTGAGGAGGGCGGGATCCGGTGTTCTGGGTCAGGACAGCCCCGAAACTGGTACCATTTGAGACTCCGGGGTCCCCACCGCGCTGTCAGGCTGGTTTTGCGGTGATATGGTTGACATAGCATGCGGGAAAAGGCTTAATTTGCAGGCTTTGGTCAGGAGCTCGCCCTGCATGCGTCCGCTCAGCCTGCCTGTCAAGCCCCGCCCCCCTACAACACCTACTTTTAAGTACTTACTTTACCATTGGAGTTTGTTTTTCTCTCATTTATACCTACATATTCTACACACTGCATACCTGTGGAGAGTTTCAACATCACCAAGATCACAGTATATCCTTGATGGGGATTATACCGTCTACGTCATGGGTTGTTAACCTGGTCCCTACCGCCCACTAGTGTGCGTTTCAGGATTCCAGTTGGGCGGTAGGGATTTCCTCAATTTCAGAGATTGGGTGGGTGGGTGCGAGCCGGCGGTACCCCTGCGACCGGGTACCGCCGTCACTATTTGCGGCCCCGGCCCGCGCGGCAAATCACCGGGGCTGCCGTCCAAGGGGTCCATTGGGTGGCCCATGCTGTCAGGTCCACCCAATGGATGTGGATTGTAAGGGGGCTTGGTCAGCGCTGGGTGCTTTAACAGTGCAACTGAGCCCCCTGTTATTATAGCACTGCACGTCACTCCTCCCAGCTAACACACAGACCGCGCGGGAGGAAGACCAGGGAGTCAGAGTAGGAACTCTGACTCCCATCCACCTGAGCCACCATTGGACCCCAGGGAAAGTCACCCTCCTGCACCTAAAAGGTAGGAAACAGGAGGGTGACTAAAATATTTTGTGTGTGTGTCTTTGTATGTCTTGTGTGTGTGTGTGTCTATGTATATAGGTGTGTATGTATGTGTGTCTTGTCTTTGTATGTGTGTCTTGTGTCTGTCTGTATGTGTGTATGTTTCTATGTATGTCTTATGTGTGTGTGCGCATGTCTGTGTGTGTCTGTATGTATGTGTGCCTGTCTGTATGTATGTGTCTTGTGTGTGTGTGTGTGTCTGTATGTGTGCATGTGTGTGTCTGTATGTATATGTGCCTGTCTGTTTGTATGTATGTGTCTTGTGTGTGTGTGTGTGTGTGTGTGTGTGTGTCTGTCTGTATGTATGTATGTATGTGTGCTTGTCTGTTATAGTGGGCTATAGTAAGTGGGCTACCTAGCTCAGCCTTCCTATTGGGCAAAAAAGGTGTGCATGTCTGTATGTATGTATGTGTGCCTGTCTGTATTTGTGTCTGTATGTGTGTGCCTGTCTGTATGTATGTATGTGTCTTGTGTGTGTGTGTGTGTGTGTGTGTGTGCCTGTCTGTGTGTCTGTATGTATGTGTGCCTGTCTGTGTGTCTGTATGTGTCTTTGTGTGTGTGTCTTGTGTGTGTTTCTGTATATATGTATGTGTGCCTGTCTGTTATAGTGGGCTATAGTAAATGGGCTACCTAGCTCAGTCTTCCTACTGGGCATTGCTATAAGGAAGGTTAAAAAATAGAAAAAAGGAAAAAAAAAAGTGGGGAGGAGAATTGAGGAGGGAGAGGAGATGACGCACAGATGAGAAATCATATTATGAGAAATCATATTATGCGCAAACAGAGAAGTCGTCTGAATATCACCAAAAGAGGAGACCTTCGTTTGTTCCTTACGAAAATCGAACCAGATATCAAATATTTAGTCTTGCAGCATCAGCCTCAGAGATCTCATTAATCACTAGTAAAGGTAATTTCAATTTACTTTGTTTTCTCATTAAACTTTATAAAGTTAAAAACATTATAAACATGCATTATGTATGTACATTTATTTTTTTTAAAACACCCTCCTTTCTAAAAAATATTCTGCATTTGCGCGAAAACTGGTGGGCAGTAAGGAAATTTTTCCATCAAGAAAGATGCATTAGTGGGCGGTAGGTAGAAAAAGGTTGACTACCACTGGTCTACGTGCATACCAGCAAAGCTCTGAGTTAGCTCTAGCAAATGAAAGTGTATTAACATCTGAATTTAAGTCATTTATTGTTACTTATTGTGGACACACCATACAGTGTTGCGCTATTATTTTGTCTGTTTTTTTCCTCTGTTTTTGGGGGTTTACGATATTGCATTATTCAAAGGATTACTGTATGTATAATTTTATATAATTAGATTGGGCGCGGTACACTCTGTTTTTTCTGTTGTATTTTCTATATTCACTTGGCCTGGGAATCCTAAACTGTATCACTGCTGTCTATTATTAGATCTGTTGGCTTTACAACTGTAGTGACCGCCTATATATCTATACCAATTAGTGCATGTTACAAGGTATGAAATCTCATTGCTTGGCACAGGAAACAGGTAGTAGCAGAAATGACAAGGAATTAATCAGAGAAAATATAGTAAGTGTTAATAGATAGTTAATAGTAAGTGAATTACGGTGCTTCTGGCAAAATGCCAGTGAAAATACAAATGGAAGTTTTGAGTACATAATCCAGGTATTTAGATTTTTCATTCTTCTTTCTTCCTAATTCAATCTTTTATAACAAAACCAATGTCCTCATCTGTGATGGGTGAATTTGGGCAAGTAATAATTAACTATTATTATTATAGATTTCAGTATACCTATAGCATTTATTTCTAAAGATTATTAGTTATGTGTTTTTCTACCTGACAGCCCAGGACCTCCAGACACCACAACAACGTCATTGAGATGATGATGATGATGATGATGTTATTGTGGTGCCTGGATTGTTTTTTACCTTTCTCCATTGCAAACATAGTTTGGAAATTTACAATAATATTTGGCATCATGTAAAATTGGATAACACAGCACAAAGTGCTAAATAAAGAGCATTCACTGTGGAAACCAGTGGAATGTTTCTGCACTTTTCCACCTAAAATAGCATTTGTTTTGCTTCAATAAATTTCCTTCATTGTGACTAGTCAGAAATTAATTGAATTGTTTAACAGCTGCAAGTTTAAGCTAAAAGGGTTACTTCTAGCACAGTGACCTCTTCAGTGTTTTCAAGTGGTCATGGTGCCTGGAATCAGTATGTGCAGCGTTATGGAGTTTAACCTCTTCGCTGCCAGAGTTGTAATTCCACCTACATCATTGCCTTGTGATCTAGATTGATTTCAGAGCACAGAAGAGCTTTTATTGACCAGTAATGAATGGCTATTGTGAGTTTCCAAACCATTTAATGAACAGTTCCACTTTTTACTTTGGGTGTGCTGGGTGCCACTTCCACTACTAAAATTTAAGCAGCAGCTTTCCTTAGATCAGCGTTTTGCAAGAACAAAATTGGGGTTCCGCTGCGTTTAGCCCATCGGGTGGCCCAAGCATTTAGGGCCACCCGAAGGATATCGCTAAACAGGGTGTCAGTTAGGCAACGCGGGTGTCCAAGACCGTGACCGGACCCTTGTTGTATGGGATGCTGGAGACAGAACGCGCCGGCTGGAGAGAGAGCGGAACAGCGGGGAGTGAGTAGCTGCCAACCTGGCACACCATCCTTAGCCAGCAGCCTTCAGCACTGAAGGTAGAAAAAAGGTAAGTTAAACATATAAACATGTGTGTTTGTGTACATGTGTCAGTACACATGTGTGTGAATTTGTGTGTGTGTGTATGTGCCAGTTTGTGTATCTGTGTGTCAAGGTGTGTGTATGTGTCACTGAGTATATATGTGTGTGTGTCATTGTATTTGCCAGTGTGTGTGTATGTATCTGTGTGTCAAGGTATGTGTATCTGTGTGTCAGATACATACACCTTGACACGCAATGGCACATACAAACACAGATACACACACACACACAGAGATGCACACTGTGTGTCGAGGAGTGTGTATTTGTGTGTCAGATACACACACAGACACACTACATGGTTCTGGTGATGACAGTGTCACTTTAAAAATTTTATTTTTGTTGCAAAAAAGCCTGGCTGCTAACTTCTTGTGGCTACTAGATTCAAAGCAAATTTGTTAAACCCTGGTATATGATAAATCAGTATGGGTCATATACCCCTTTCAAATTGGCATCACATTCTCACCTATGTAACTACCAACTCATAAAAATGCAAACTAAAATTATGTCCCTTTTTTTTGCGCTCACCTATGCTGGTGTGTGTTTGTTTTCATAGTTGTCTAGCATGAAAGCAGAGTACTGGATTCCAATGACTTTGTAGCTCCTGCCTTTTTTTATGCCAACCATACAGCATTGTGCGGGCATAGTGTAAAACTTTACTAACTTTACTATCTGTAACATGGGAATCGCCAAACTGCAATGCCCAGAATGCACTGTGACAAGCTCAGGCTGTCTAGTGATTTTTTTCCATGGTGCAAATCTTGTGAACCAATTTGCCCTACATCTGGCAGCACTATTATTTTCGTGAATAGTGATAAACATGCTGATATAATAGCACATATTGGTGAGAGATACACTGCTGCAATAGAATGGTTAGTGCTGAGCAAACAACATACAGTTGTGCTCAAAAGTTTGCTTACCCTTGGAGAATTGGTAATAAATGTACCATTTTTAAAGAAAACATGAGTGAGCAGGCAAAACACTTTTTTTTTTTTTCTTATGGGATTCATATGCAACTGTAGGTTATAACAGAATGTCACAATCCTAAAATAAAACATGGCAACAGAGAAAAAAATTAAATGACCCCTGTTCAAAAGTCTGCATATCCTTAGAATATTTAATACTGTGTATTGCCCCCTTTAGAATCAATGTCAGCATTCAGTCTCCCCAGAGTGGCTAGATGATATTAAGGTCAGGAGACTGTGATGGACACTCCAGAACCTTCACCACTGGAGGGCCAACTTGGCCTTGTGCTTAGGGTCATTGTCATGCTGGAAAGTCCAAGTGCGTCCCATGCGCAGCCAGAAGAATGCAAATTGTCAGCTAGTATTTTCTGATAACATAGCTGCATTCATCTTGCCATCAAATTTCACAAGAGCTCACCCCCCTCCAAAACATCAGTGAGCTACCATCATGCTTCACCGTGGAGATGGTATCCTTTTCACTATAGGCCTTGTTGACCCCTCTCCAAACATAGCGCTTATGGTTGTGACGTTGTATACTTGAAACAACCACTCCTTTTTCCAGAGCAGCCTGTATTTCTCCTGAGGTTACCTGTGGGTTTTTCTTAGTATCCTGAATAATTCTTCGGGCAGTTGTGGCTGAACTCTCTCTTGGTCTACCTGACCTTGGCTTGGTATCAAGAGACCCCTGAATTTTCCACTTCTTAATAAGTGATTGAATAGTACTGACTGGCATTTTCAAGACTTTGAATATCTTTTTACATCCTTTCCCATCTTTATAAAGTTCCATTACACAGGTCTTTTGACAGTTCTTTTCTACTCCCCATGGCTCAGTATCTAGCCTGCTCAGTGCATCCACAGGAGAGCTAACAAACTCATTGACTATTTATACACAGACACTAATTGACATTTTAAAAGACACGGGTGTGGAAAATTTACTTTTAATCGCCATTTAACCTGTGTGTGTGTGTCCCCTTATGTGTCTGTAACAATGCCAAACATTCAAGGGTATGTAAACTTTCAGTGCCGTTTGGTTCTTTTTTTTTTTAATTCATAATAACAGAAAACAACCAAACAACTATGTAATAATAAATGACTTCATATGATCAAAATCCTCCAATAAAATACACTTATTGCATGATCAGTCATATTTTCAAAGTCAATGCCAAAATTTCAAAATCTTTGCCTGGGTATGCAATTTTTTTTAGCACAACTGTATATGTATATATGATATGGGGGGAAACGCCTTGGGAAAGCAGGTATGGTAAATACGTCCATAATCGGGCACCGGTTGGAGCAAGCTATAAGTAATATTCTAGGTCTAAGTGCTCGTGAAGCTTTCATTGGCAACAATTCTTGTAGTGTGGAAAGACCTAGTAGTGAAACAACTCTTGTTGGATCTGTAAGTGATAAAGTAAACCAACATTTTTAAGACCAATGTTAACACCCTCCTTAAACCAGGACAAAGAAATGAAGTTCACTATCCCTATAGAACATTTAGCTCTTTTGAATCTCTGGCTTTGTAGTCTTCTGTTATCAGTACACAACCACTGTTGTAAATACAGGACTGGAGATCCTGGGGCTAGACATGGTTGTTGGAGAATGGGAATGCATTGGGGTTTATTCACTAAACTCTCCATTGTAACATCAGATTAGATGTTACCACATACAAATTTCTAACATTTTGAATGAATGTAAATGTATCTCTTGAAAAATATTATCATTAATCAGTATGTTTCTTCTTCTCAGGAATATAATGCTTACGGCTGGTGGGTCGGAGAACTGGATGGCGCCATTGGTATTGTACCAAAAGACTACCTGACAACAGCCTTTGAGCTAGAGTGAATATGAAGAAGATTTTGACTACTGATTCCATATTGTCTTGCGTTGTAAGAGCAATTTGTTCATGTGAGAAGTTAAATGTAGAGAGATTTAAAAAAAAAAAATGCAATATACAATACATGTTTAGTTTGTGATTATGCAACATTTAAAAAATAAAATAACTGCAATATTCAAAAGCCATCCATGTCACAGCTTTGAAGTCATTCATACTTACCACTAGATGGCAAACTACCATCAGTAAACCCTCCACACCTGGAATTTTTCCATAAGGTTACATTTTTCAGCGGCAGCAAAACTTGAATAAAAGTAATGAAATGAGGACTAATTCGGTATAAGGTGCAAAGGTATTACACAGAAAATAAATTCCCATTCTAGTCCAGAGAATACTACTGTTGGGAATTAGACAGCTGGCAGACTGTTATGTCTTTCTTAAAGGACCGCTATGTGCCAGGAAAACAAACTAGTTTTCCTGGCACTATAGGGTCTTTAGGTGTGTGTCCCCCCCCCCCCCACTCTCGGGGTTCCACTCCCGCTGGGGCTAAAGGGGTTAAACACTTACCTTTCTCAGCACCGAATGCGCATTCAAACAGTCCATAGGAAAGCGTTTCTCAATGCTTTCCTATGGACGTCCAGCGTCTTCTCACTGTGGTTTTCACAGTGAGAAGCGCCTCTGGCGGCTGTCAGTGAGACAGCCACTAGAGGCTGGATTAACCCTAGTGTAAACATAGCAATTTCTCTACACTAGATGGACCTGACACCCAGACTACTTCATTGAGCTGAAGTGGTTTGGGTGCCTATAGTGGTCAAGAAGGTAACCTGGTCTGTCCTCTCATCCAAATGTCTACTACGAACTAGATATTGCAACCATAAAAGTGTCTAAAAATCTAATTTTATTAAAGACACGGAGGCTCATATTATGCATTCACTCTCTTTATTTCCCTTAGCAGCAAAGACAATTGAGAGGAAAAAAATAATTGAACAAATATAAAATAGTCTATGAACAGGGCAGCCAATCATATTAAAGGTGTCCATATAAAAGGGAGTTCTCCTATCCTGCTCTTCCTCCTACTTTGTTGCTCCCTCAGAACAGAAAAGTATAATTTTCACTTCCCTCTTGTAGTGATATTGTTGTTTTCTACTGCTTATCCAATGCCTTGTTACATTTTGCTCTAGTGTGTGTGTCCCTACCCATACCCTTTACAATTCCCGCTCTTGGGCTGTTTTTCTTGGACTCCTCCTAGGTTGGAGCTGAGGCTCTTTTCCTCCAGCCCCTCCCTCCTAGTTTCTTTTTTCCTGGCGGCAGTCACGCATGCAAGTTTCTCCCAGCAGCGACCTTTTTCTGCCACAGAGGCGGTAGCAAGCCTGGCGGCATCCCCTCCTTCAGGAGAGCCGCCAAAATTGAACAACATAACCCCTGCTGGCGCTCCGACGCTTGTGGCGATTATTTCCTCACTGGGATTTTCCCTGACTTGCTGTTAGGCCGTGAGTGCTTGTGTGCTCATCGCCCATATTGGTGGGATGAGCCTAGGACGACAGTTGGCCTTAAAAACATGCGAAGGCGGGAAGCAGCTATGAGTGGCTGATGACTCCTGTGTTCTTGGGGAATTGCACACACTTGGACTTCGTATAAAGTTTGTATTCTGTGTATTGAGTCAGGGTCAATTAACCCTGTAGTTTTTCCTTTGCAGTTTTTCTGGATTTCTGGTTTTTCATCACTGGTATTTCTATCAGTGTGGTTAATTATTTTTATATATTATTGCGATATTGATTATGCAGTCTAGAGGTGAGGGTACTGAAGGGGCAACTTTCCCCAATACTGACCCCTTTCAGCCCACTGTGGCTGCTTATTCAGGCCTGATGGCCTCAGAATTCCAGGAGGGTCCAAACGCCAAGGCCATTGTGCCAGTTTATACTCTGGGGAACGCGGGGTCGTGTCTCCGGGTCCTACAGGGGCAATCCCTATTTGACCAGGACGACTTGCGCCATCCACGGTCTGCGGAGTGGGAGCCGCCCAGCCATATGGCTAATTACCTGGGCCTTCACATGTGTACGCCTCTGTCTAAAGAGGGGCATCAAAAATTACGTGCAGAGTGCCCTCGTCCTATTGTACCCGATTTGGCCTGTAAGACCACCATATAGCCCAATTCTTGGGCAAGACCGGATTGAAGCCAAGGAAGGGCTTTGAGTGGTCACCTAAAAATTATTAGGACAAGATCAGGAAAGTCACGGGCCCAGCATCTAAGCTCTACAAGCTCTTGGAATCCGCTGAGAAGTGAGACAGCTATGGATTATGATGTGGCTATTGGCTGTGTTCAACGCCTCATCTGCTTACTGGGCAACACAAACACGGCTATGCTGGCCGAACCCCGCAAACCCTTACTACTTAAGAGAGACCTAAAACTGATCAATATGGCCATTACTGAGCCTGGCCAAGCTGCAAAGAGCATGTTATTTGGGGACTCCTTTATGATGGATCTTGGAACGTTCGTAAAAACATTTACCGCTATAGACAAAGCGCAGTCTAACCCAAAAAGGTTGTTCAGGGCCAAGGTATTTGTTGGGGCTGTGAGAACTAGGAGCCGTCCACCTAGCCAGGGTAGCCGTGGCTTGTTTAGAGCTCCCAGAGTCTCCTCGCAATCCACACGTTACTTTCCAGAGTACAAGCCATCACAGTTCTTCCCCTCACGAGGACACCCACGTGGCTCTGGAGGAGCTGCATCCAGACAACAGCCCTATGATGAGTACAATGTTTACCCCGTCTTCCCATGTAAGGGTAGACAACAGACTGGCTCAGTTCTCCCATGTGTGGGGCATGATTACATCAGATGTATGGGTACTCTAGACGGTGCAGGGCTAACTAATAGATCTGCTGTCCCCACCTTTGCATCTAATATCCCCACGAGAACATGCTACATTGATTTCTCAGGAAATCTAGTAACTGGTCGCAAAGGACGTGATCCAAGTCGTTCCGTACCATTACCCTGGCTTCACAAGCAATTTATTTCCGGTACCCAAGAAATGGGGCGGAGTCCGCCTAGTCCTAAACCTTTGTCCTCTGAACACCTTTCTTCGGTACCAGCAAGTACGGAGATGGCGTTTCTCATGCCCTGCATTTGGTCTATCATCGCCACCTTGGTGCTTCACCAAAGTAATGAAACCAGTAGTGTTCTTCTTTAGATCATAAGGAATCTGACAGATAATTTACCTGGATGAAAACCTTCTCCTCTCCAGTTCACTTTCCCTGCTGTACATCCACATTGGACAATACTCCAGAATTTGGGCTTCCTCATACACTGGGAGACGTTGGTGTTGATACCTTCACCGGTTATAGAATTCCTAGGATTCCAGGTAAACTCCACCCACCAAGCAAAGGTCAGCTGTTTACTGCGTACCCCAGAAATCTCAGCTAGCACGGTTGATAGGTCTGCTCTCTTAGTCTATTCAAGCAATTTCTCCTGACCCATTACATTACCGAGCACTTCAAAAACTAAAAAGCTCCTATCTGCGGGCTGGTCACTCTTACGAAATGCATCTCTGTAGCGGAGAGCTGGTATTACACATCCTATCTCCACTTTAGATCCCAGGGAGGTTCAGGAACAAGCAATTCTCAATCCATAGGGCAAAGTATCCAGCAGGCAAAATAACACAGCAGTATCCCAGCAGCAATCCCAATAACTGGACGACACACAGTATCAGGAACAGAACTAAAGATTTATTCACCCAGTGGCCTTTTAAAGCCTGCTCCCATGCAAGGGAGGGATTTCCATTAATTTGTACAGTAGCCAATCCTGCTCTGGTAACCTCCCACACATCTCTTCCCCTCAGCCTGCATCATAATCCCCTTATCCAGCACACCAATTCCCCCCGTTTCTGGATGTACCCCTAAACTTAGGGGTACCACTTTAAATTATACATCCCCTGGTAGCCCTGATATGGGTGAACAACATATCCAAAAATCACCCAGATCAGACCAGGGGTTCGGGAAATTCATGGAGGGAATAAAATGACTGACCGCACTGTAGAGAACAGCCGAATGGGGTTCCATGCGATGGGGCTCTGCGGTCCTGGAGTCAGGTAATAAACTGCACGAAAGCCTCTAGCTACAGAGACTAGGGAGGGTTCGCCTGAATCCCCTCGTTCGGTTGTTTCTGTCTACCGAACGAGGGGCCATTCGGTAGTTTGGAACCGAACGGACCGGGCTTGTGGAGGTCTCAGCGGTGTTCGCCTAGTCGAGTGCCCAATTTGAGTTCCAGACACTCGACGGCAGAACACCGCTGTTTTGGAGTTTTAAAATGGACGGCTACTCAGCTTGTCAATTACCCGTTCGCAACAATGTTGCAACGGGTAATTGAAGGCACACTTCACACAGGGGAGGTCTGGTTGTTCGGTAGTTTAATTCGAACAAACTAAGGGAATGAAACTACCTAACATTCAGACAAATACAATACATTTAACACATAGAACTTTGCTATTTTACACGAATGCATTCAAACACATGTAATTCTCAGGACAGCCCAGTGCCATCCGCTACAATCTCGCCCTGTATGTGGACTCCAGAGAGGAGCTGCCACATGGAGGCTTGGAATGGAAGGGCATTTTTTCAGATCTGTCATAAACTTGGTCATAGAGTCGGACACCAGCTTACACAGTTAGGGCGCATGTTGCGGGAACATTTCCACCGGCAGAAGATGGTCAAACAATGAATCCTCACTTCACATCAATTGTCTGGAACTACTGGTAGGTTTCTTCGCCATCTGCAGCTTCACCCCCAGGAATATCACCTGTTGTGTCCTTCTCAACATGGACAATGTTTCAGCGGTAAGGTACATAAATCACCTGGGTGGCACGAAGTCGAAGATGTTGGCTCTGCTCGCCAAAGGCATTTGGCAATTTTGCCTATGCAGCAACATTTTGGTTACAGCGGAGCATATTCTAGGTCTGGACAACTCCATGGCAAAATGGAAATACACATACCTCCGAGACTAAGGAAATTAGCAACTGCACAAGCAAGTCTTTCACCATATTCAAGCACTTTGGGGTCCATTAGACGTCGATTTGTTTGCCTCACGACTGAACTTGGCTTGGCTACTTTCTGGGGACCAAGGACTGTCCCTGACGTTCCACAGTCAACTTTCACTCTCTTCGCAGAAGCACAAGGCACTTAAAACGCCTACAACAC